TAATTGTAATAGTTAAACTGTAGGAAAGACAAAATAGATTACTATTTCAATAGCTTGTGAAGTGCGGATGATCTGATGTTCACTTTTACCACCATGCAATATGCATGAAATTAGCTTTTTGAAAAATTGTCAGTAGCAATTCCTCCCACCCATGTACCAAATTTGAAATGATTTCCTAGAAGATTTTACAGTTGCCTTTGCCTTCCCACTCAATTTGCTATAGTTACATTTTTTAATAAATTACATTTTTTTAAAATAAAACTAACATCTTGTTCAGGATTCCATTAGTCACTTTCCAATCCAACTGTGTGAGGTTATCACAGTGTACATGCTGTAAGCCCAGTTCCTTTCTACAGTAAACCAGTAATAACTCATTCTAGTCATTGCAGATTATCTATTGAGAGAAGAATCTGGCTCTATATCTAACTCTATGCTGGTGTACTTTTTTTAAAAAGGACAGACACTTTGTATTTTTAATAGTTTCTGATGTTTCCTTTTGTGTCTTGTCTAGAAGGTGCATTGGCTAGTGGACAACTATATATATTTGAAAGCTAAACTTTAGGTTTCGGGCACACTGGCATTTGTACTGATAATTAAACAGATGAGTCCTGTAATATTTTGAGGGGGGAGTTGTTTCTTTGGTTTTTACATGCCATTACTTTAAATGTGTGGTGACTTGCAGCTCACACACACATTCAAGTCCTATCTTTCTTCTCTGGTCCTTCTGTCTGTAAACTGTCCCGCTTCTCTGAATTTTCTGTTACCTCTTTTATTTCCCTCTGCTTCTCACTCATCTGTATCTTTCAATATAACAATATTCTGAAAGGATTATGAAAAGGACCCATGTACTGGTTCCCATCTCTTCCATCAAAGCTACTTGGTTCATTCTTTTGCTGAAAGGTGGTCAAAGCAGACTAAAGAGCCGGTCAGCTTCTACTGGGAGCCAGAGGTAGTGCTGCTCTGTGGGAGTTCACAACACAACAGTGCTACAGTAGCACAGGCAGCTGACCAAATCTCCTAGAACTGGTAGGAATTATAAAACTTTCTCTCCAAACCAGGACACTCCTGATAAATCCGGGCTATATGGTGTCCTCCTAATTCAGTTTCACAAACTGTCATAAATATAAAGGAAAGGGTAAACACCTTTAAAATCCCTCCTGGCCGGAGGAAAAACCCTTTCACCTGTAAAGGGTTAAGAAGCTAAGATAACCTCACTGGCACCTGACCAAAATGACCAATGAGAAGACAAGGTACTTTCAAAGCTGGGGGGGAGAGGACAAAGGTTCTCTCTGTCTGGGTGATGCTTTTTGCCGGGAACAGAAAAGGAATGGAGTATTAGAACTTGGTAAGTAATCTAGCTAGATATGCATTAGATTCTGTTTTGTTTAAATGGCTGAGAAAATAAGCTGTGCTGAATGGAATGTATATTCCTGTTTTTGTGTCTTTTTGTAACTTAAGGTTTTGCCTAGAGGGATTCTCTATGTTTTGAATATGATTACCCTGTAAGGTATTTACCATCCTGATTTTACAGAGGTGATTCTTTTTTACTTTTTACTTCTATTAAAATTCTTCTTTTAAGAACCTGATTGCTTTTTCATTGTTCTTAAGATCCAAGGGTTTGGGTCTGTGTTCACCTATGCAAATTGGTGAGGATTTTTATCAAGCCTGCCCCAGGAAAGGGGATGTTGGGTTTGGGGAGGATTTTGGGGGGAAAGATGTTTCCAAGTGGGCTCTTTCCCGGTTATATATCTGTTAGACACTTGGTGGTGGCAGCAATAAAGTTCAAGGGAAAAAGGAAAATAGTTTGTACCTTGGGGAAGTTTTAACCTAAACTGGTACAAATAAACTTAGGAGGTTTTCATGCAGGTCCCCACATCTGTACCCTAGAGTTCAGAGTGGGGAAGGAACTTTGACACAAACATCGAGGGCAGACTCTCTGGTCCACTAAAGCCCCCTTTTTCCATGTAAACATTGTAAACTGGCATTACATTAATGGATAGCCTGTGGAGAATTCTCCCAGCACAGGGGAATTCTTAGATTCCAAGGCTAGAAGGGATCATTGTGATAATCTAGTCTGACCTTTTATATAACATAGGCCATAGACCTACCCCAAAATAATTCCTTGATCAAATTTTTTAAAAACACATCCAATCTTGATTTAAAAATGGTCAGTGATGAAGAATCCACCTCAACCCTTGGTAAATTGTTCCAGTGGTTAATTACTCTGTTAAAAACACACAGCTTATTTCCTGTCTGAATTTGTCTAGCTTCTACCACCTGCCATTAGATTGTGTTATACCTTCCTCTACTTGATTAAAGAATCCATTATTCAATATTTGTTCCCATGTAGGTGTTTACAGACTGTAATCAAGTCACCCCTTAACCTTTTCTTTATTAAGCAAAATAGACTGAGCTCCTTGTGTTTATCGATGATTAAAGGATTAGAAAGCATGCTTTACATTCTTGTGGCTCTTCTCTTAACCTTCTCCAATATATCAACATCCTTCTTGAATTGCGGACACCAGAACTGGACACAGTATTCTAGCAGCAGCTGAACCAGAGCCAAATACAGAAGTAAAATAACGTCTCAACTCCTGTTTGTGTCTGAGGACTGCATTAGCTCTTTTGGCCACAGCATCACACTAGGAGCAATGGGAACTTTGCCAGCAGAAGCAACTCTATTGATTCTTGTACCTGCCGTCCCCCTAGCTGTCTTAAAGATTGTGTCAGAGGGAGACTGTTGGCAAGACTGGTACTAGGGCGGAGGCATGGTGGATTAGAACTCCACTACACCTAATTCTAATCTAGCATGTCAGGGTTGACTCTGAAGTTCTAACTTGTGCCGGGCCAGGCAGCTCTGAATCAGGGAACTACAACTGTTCCTCTGTGGCTCTCCCATTCAATTCTGCCTGGAGTTTGGAGAGGAGAGAAGAGGCTACATCCTCTAGTGTTTGAACTCTTGGAACTAGTCTTCTAATAGATGGGTAAAACTGCTGTTTGCTACCATTTCCCATTTCAAGATTGTCTAGATTAGAATTTAGGCTCATTCTCATTGAAACAGGGTGTAGAACTGCTGGTTGACACGACAGCTTTCAGAGAAGATATTAAGTCATTGTTCCTTTTGCCTATCTTAGTTGGCATCCAAGTGGAAATCACGGATCATATGAAACTTGAGTAGGAGATAAGACTAATGTCCTGGCCAACTTTCCATCTCTCAATAAGAAAGGTTCTAATGTTCCTGCTTGCATGAGCTGTTGCTGAGTACATAAAGATTGCTCCACTTGTCAACATGACTGTTGCAGTACAAGTACTTAAAGAATTGAAATATCTTGATTACAAAAAGTGCTATATCAGTGGGTCAGAAAAACAAATTTCAATTTTTAAATCTCTTACATTATGCTATTGTTTCTGCTCTCCCTACATCTCTGACTTGTTAATACTCTATTTCCTTGCTTGGTCAGAGGACTTCTAAGTACAAGGATTGTTCACCATTCACTAGTTTAACTGGAACATCTTTTATTAGGGGATTCTCTTGCTATATGCAAATAGCCCAGTTTTGCAAACGCTTGATACAAATTAGGTCTTAAGTACATTAAAATCAGCAGGACCACTCAGTCTTAAATCCCTAATAAGTATTTTCAGCAAGTTTGTAAAGCACATTGACTGAGCCAGTATTCCTGATACCATAAAACAATGCCTTAAAGGCAAAACTTTTATTTATTTAAATTTATAAAGCACCTATCTTATAAATCCAGTAAAGTTATATTGCTGAACCAGGGTAAGGACTGAGTTATGTGTTTTGTACAGCATCTAGAATAATGGGAGTGCAGCAACATAAAATTAATAATGAAGGTAGAGATTGGAGGGGAAAAAAATGATTCGGTCATCTAGTCTATCTCCCACATATTGCAAGGAAGTGCATAAAAGCATATGAACTGAAGTTGTACTGTATCTCAATTTTATTTTTATTAGACTTTGGGTTATACTGTTAATATTTTTTACATTTATGTATTTATTAAGCTGCTCCACTACAAAAGCAATGAACAATACCAGTTGCATTCTTAAACGCCACAATACATAAAGAAATGGGCACGTTTTAACAATAAAATACAGTTCTTCCACATATTGGGCTGTAAATGAAATCTGACATCAAATTGCAAATTACCAGTATAGTTGTTTGTAGTATAACCATTTGACCCTGTTATAGCTAGTCTTTGTAACTTACACTACCCTTCACAACAAACTTTGTCTACAGTGGACATATTTTCTTAAAATCTCCCACCATGGTCACTATACATTCAACTTTCCAGGAGTTCGCAACAGTAGGAGAACTAGCTTTTATTGGAGAGCAGCACAATTAGCAGCTCAGACCTTTTCTGAGCTGACAGATGCCACGGTGACTTTAATGCAGGTGGTCAGATGTGCCATTGCTAGCATCAGTGCAACTCCACTGGTGGTAACAACAGTGGAGAACTATCAGGAAAAAGCCTACTCTAGATGTCCAAAATATCTCTGTGTAGTCATCTTCACAAGAAAAAAGTAATGGCATGATCACACAACAAGGTAAATTGTAAATAATGTTTCAGAGTGGTAGCTATGTTAGTCTGTATCAGCAAAAACGAGGAGTCCTTGTGGCACCATAGAGATTAACACATTTATTTGGGCATAAGCTTTGAAGTGGGTTTTAGCCACAGCTTATGCCCAAATAAATGTGTTAGTCCCTAAGGTGCTACAACTACGCCTTGTTGTTTTTGTAAATAATATGTGCCCACCAAGCAGCAGAATGAAAAAGGATGAGCTTTTAATAAAAAATTATTAAAGTCTCTCTCCTTTTCAAAGGGATTTTTCTTTCAGGCCTCAGGGGCTGCCCATAAATTACAGAACTTTTTATGGGGGGGGGGGGATGAGTTTCAAGGCTCGCGCCCACCTTGGCCATAGGGCCTAACGCTGAAACAAGCACACACCGCGTTAGAGGACACCCCGCCCCATGCCTTACGTACTTTACAGCCCGCTGAGCGCAGATCTGGCCTCTGCTCTCCACGGGCCCGGGCCTCCGCCGCCGGCGAGTCACTCGCACCCCTCCCACGCTGCCTCCCTTACTCCGCCCCTCTTTCCCTTCCCGCCCCCTCCGGCGCGCGGCTGCCTCTACCGGCGCGCCCTCGGCGCCGTCCCCTTCCCCGCTCCCTCACACCCTTCACTCGCCAGCCGCGCCCCTTCCGCCTTCTCCTCCCCCCACTTCCGCTCCTGCCCCGGCCGCCGCCAGCGCCGCCTCTCGCCCCCCGCCGCCGCGTCGGCGTCTCTGGGAGCGGCCGCAGGCCGGCGAGTGGCTCTCCGAGCAGATCGATGGAGGCCCGGCGCGGCTGGCCGGTGGGGGGCGCTGGCTCTCGCTCGCTGGCTCTGGGATGGATTTGCCGCGGCCCAGCTGCGACTCCGGGCTAGCCACCATCTTAGAGGAGAGGAGCGGGCCGCGCACCGGGACGGAGGGGTCTTGGGGCCGGGCCCTGCCGCACACAGGTACCGGCGAGACCCGAGCAAGGGCTTCCGGCCCGGAGCCGAACGGGGAACCGATGCCCCGTGTCCGGGGCGCCCCGACTAAACCCTGGCCCGGGGTGTCAGTGGGGGAAGGGACCAGCCTCTTCGCCTTCTCGCCCCCCTCGTCCGTGAGTGAGGGTGGGGGCGGTGCCCAGCCTGCCCAGGTCGTCTTCCCCTGACCAGCCTCCCTCTCCGTGGGGGGAGACTCGCCGCCTTTTCCCACTGTCACCTGCGTGTGAGGGGGGAAGCCCTTCCTTCTGCCCCCGGGATCCACTGGGTGGGGGGCTTAGCTTCCCCTGCACATCCACTTTTCGTGGGGGGGGGGAGCTGTCTCCTCTCCCTCACCACCAGAGTAGGGGGTGGGGAATGGGGGCCTGTCTCTCTCTCCCCCGCACCCTCAGAGTGGGGGGGGGGTGCGCGCGCGGAGGAAGGGAGGCTATCTCCCCTCCCCCCATCCCCAGAGTGGGTGGGGAGGGCTGTCTCATTCTCTCCCACCTGATCCCCAGAGTTGGGTGGGTGTCTGCCGAGGAAGGGGGCTGCCCCTGTCCCTCTTCCCCATCCCCGGAGTGGAGGAATGGCGCGGGGGAAGGGGAACTGTTGTCTTTCTCTCCCCATCCCCAGCGCAGCAATGTGTGTGTTGGGGGGAGGGTCTCTTCCTTTGCCTCCCAACTGTGGAGTGGGAGGTTTTTTTGGGGGGGGGGGGGAGGTCTCCTATTTCTCTCCCCCATCCCTAGAGTGAGTGGGTGGAGGGGGAAGGAAACAGAATCCAACCCCTACCCTGGAAGTGTCTCTCTAGAAGTGCAGCATTGTGCCTGTTCCCGAATGTGTAAGGCTACCACAGTTATGAGGGTGAGGAGTACTTCCGGAGACTGTGCTGGACTTGATCTCACCACTGCTGTGTAGTTGTCTACCCCGCTGCAAGCTGATTTCTTTTGATCTCCTATTAAGAAGGATTGGACAGGTGATTTCCAAGAAATGCTTATATGTTTCTGATAATTCAGTAGCTGATATTCTTCCGTGTGTGTGTATTAAATGCATGGTCCAGCATGTTATTCGGGACACCATTGATCAGATGAGAGGTAAAAGTGAGGTCCTGAGCGGTTATTAAAGATTCCCTAGTACTTTTCACAATTGTGGGTGAAACTGCCTGATGTTTGGGCCAAATTCCATTTGGGTAATTTATGTTCTTCCTAACTAAAATTGCTCTGTATTAATTTTATATTGTACATGTCATATTCAAAATTGTTGTGTAATGTTACCAGTTGTCTGTTTTGCCGCAAAGGTGTCTGCCCTTCAGTGGTGGGTGAAGTTATATGTGTGTAAGGTTTGTCAGTTAGACAGTAAAGTTTTAGGATTCTTCCATATGGAAGATGCTACGTAGACACAAGTGTTCTGTGTGATCTCTTCGTAATGTTTGAACTTGTGGAGTTCATGGTCGGTTTATTCCAGTAATTGTCAGTTAATAGTTAAACACACCATGTAATATATCATTTCTATTCACACTTGCAAATTACAATATAGCTGAAAATTTATGTTTCTGACACTTGTATGAGAATTTAGATATATATTTTTTTCAAGTATTCCTCTTATTCTTCAGATCCTGGGAACCAGCTCCACTGTTATTTATATACAGAACATTTTGATGTCATGGAGGTACTGTTTTCAAGTGAGTATTGCCTTTTGTTGGACTCCATATGTCTCATGAGATAAAATAAATGAGATATTTTAGCTAATTCAAAACAAAATGCTTTCTGTGTGTATTTTGGTCTTCTATTTTTTAATTAATTTTTATTTGGGCTGGTGTGGTAGACTAGTGACAATACTCAGCACCAGCATATGAGACTTGGGTTCGATAACCTGTGCTTTACTTCATGATAAGGGGATTTTTGTGGAGGAGTCTACTCTTTTTATGGAGTTTTCTTTGAGGAAGGACTGTGGGATTAGACCTTGAGTGATTGCAATATCGCTCTGAAAGTGTGCCACCCATCTGATTTAAAAATTGCCGTTGTCTTATTTGAAGGAAGTCCTCAGCACCCCCACCTGCTATTCCTGTGTAGTATGGTGATCAATTGTTATGGAAGTGAATTCTTGAGGTAGTAGAAAGGACAACAAAGAAAACCCTATATGTTTTCAAAATTATTTGCACAAAATGCACCGGTTTGTTTTGCTTTTGACTTTTGTGCCATCAAATGAAAAACAGTGAGACACGAGTTAGTCAATACAAAGGCTGACCATTTCTATATAACCTCCCTGAGATTGGTACCCTCATATTTTTTTTATACGTTTGTCCTGGCTGACTAATAGGTATTTCTAGAATTGGAAGGATGGCACTAAAATGATTAGTCAATCCACTTCTATTCATTGTCTGGTTGTAACTAAAACATAATTTCTGTGTCTTCATCATATGACCCATATACTTCACGGGTGTGAGTGAAATAAGAATCCACTGAGGCCAGTATATTTCAAGTCTCTTTTGACACATTCCCTTATGAGAACAGGCAGTGTTCAATTAGTCAGTACATTTTAAAGTTGTTTTCATGTTGGCCCAGATTGTGGTGTGGGTGCAGAACTGTGAAGACTGGAAAAAAAAATTCAATCTGTTGTGATTGAGCTGCTGTCCAGGTGCCTTTGTCATGGACTAGCTTTTACATAGAATGTCTGCAGTATATACACTGGTTTAGCAATTTTTGTGTTCATAAAGCGGTTTCCCTTATGATCAACAAGCTATTTGATTACTTCATATTCTCAGAGATATCATATTGTTCTGCCTTCACTATTAAATTGTATTATAAATTGAGAATAGTGATAATCTTTAGAGAAACATGTGGTGCTAATGTGGCTTTGCTGTCAGAGATGATGGGACTTCTTGCAAATGGAACGACACTTGCAGGATTACACATACTTACTACCCTTCTAAATACACTTTTGGCATATGTATCTTAGTAAAAATGGTGTTCTACGTTTTGTGAATTAGCATAAGGCCATTCCAGCCCATTGATCCAAATGTAGGTAGCCAAGTGAAAATACATGTGAGATCATTTTAAACGTCCAGGGATTGGGGTAGTATCTTTTATTGGACCAACTTCTGCTTAAAAGTTTGTCTCTCTCACCAACAGAAGATGGTCCAACCGAAGATACTTCACCCACCTTGTCTCTCTAATATCCTGGGGGAGATGCAGCGACAATAACACTGCATACAATAAAGGCATTTATGTCTGGGAATATCAACTGTTAATGCGGAGTATCTCTACCTAAAATTAAGTGATTGAGAATAGTTTAATTTGGGTTGGAGGGGGAAAGACACCACTGAGTTGGGATTTTCACTCTTCACAAGGTGTTGGAAAGGGGTGTTCTAAAGTTTTCATTCCTTTTTGGCTTTCTGCAGAAGGCCTGCACGTAACTGGCTGAAAAAAAATGGTTCCACAAGATGACAATCTCAGCCCTAATATGGTCTAAATGGTAAGGAAAACTATTTTGTGTCTAGGCTACTATCAGCCTCTGTTGAAAAGTGTTTATTTACAAAGGTGGTTTTGAAGCATATTTAACTGTTATTGTAAAGATGACACATAAAGGAATTCTGATTTTTGTTGCTGATGCAATGAACCAATGTCTGGAAGTTGAAAGCTAGACAAATTCAGACTGGAAATAAGGCGTACATTTTTAACAGTGAGAATAATTGGAACAACTTACTAAGAGTCATAGTGGATTCTCCATTACTGAAAATTTTAAAATTAAAATTGGATGTTTTTTCCAAAAGATATGCTCCAGGAATTATTTTGGGGAAGCTCAGTGGCTTGTGTTATAGACAGATGTTATACATAGATGATCAGTGGTCCCTTCTGGCCTTGGAATCTGTAAATATGTCTTAGACAAGCAGTACGTTTTGCCTCAAATAACAAAGAAAAGAGGGACATTCAGCACAATTTTGAAGTATATCTTTTGTTTAATTGTGTTCGGGTTTAAAAAAACAACCAACCAGACAAAAACCATATGATCTGTTGCATGCTGTCACCTCCATCTCACAACATGCATACACCACAGGAGCTTGCACATAACCGGGCAGGAGTGTCAGACACATTCTGTGAGAGGGCTGCAATATATATTTAATCTTTGTTCTTGGTCCTGATGTTCAAAGGTAGGATGCTAAATTGTCTTCAAATTCCCACTGACGATAATAGGCTTTGAATGGAGTTGTAAGTGCTCAGAACCTTGTAGGAACCTAGCTCAAAGGCAGGTTTGCACAGTGATAGAGGGTAGAATATGGTCCTTATGCAGTAACTAAATTGTATCCCAAATTCTGCACTGTAGTACATGAGGTACAACTCCTATGCACTTAAATGAGAGCTAAAGCTGTATAACTGAACAGAATCTACCCTTAGAAAAGTAAACTGTTGCATTCAACTTCAATGGGCTGTGGATGGAAATGATAGAGGGCAGTTTTGGGACCAGTGTCTGTTTTCCCCCTCTGTTTGGTCGCTGGTGTGTTCAGTTACAATTACTGCTATTGTGTGCGTAAATCACATAAACATAAAACTGCACCTGTATTTATTTAGCTTTAAAGTAGTAGATGTATCATCCTAGCTGTATAAATGAGGCAGTTCACACCTCTCAAATTTATGTAAGGGGTCCATCCACAGTGCAGCTCAGAGGTGAATTCTCATCTTGGGTAGAAGTACATGCACTAGTGTTGCAGCGATGGCGTGGGTGGTGACTTGGGCTACCTGCTTGAGTTCAACCTGAACCAAGATAGGCACTTGGTTGGCTAGCTAGAACTACCACCTCTGCCATTATGGCCTCACTGCTATTTTTAGCATGCCAGCTCAAGCAGAACTGGGGTGTTTACTTCTGCCTGAACTGGGAATTACACCTCCCAGCTGCAGTGTAGACATAGACTAAGACAGGTATGTCAAGTCATGTTCTGCAGAGTCTGACTCTGTTATGCGTCTGGAAAAATACTTAAGGTGGGCAAGATGTTTGATACCAATAGCATAGGTTAATGTAGTTCCTGCGCATGTATATGTGTATAATTATTTTAACCTATTAAAAAGATTTTGCTTTCTGAAGTGCCAGCCCCTGTCTGCCACAGGGTTGCATAGTAAATGTAAAGTGATCAGCAAGTATAGTGTGCATGCTAGGTCACTGTGGGTAGCAACCCACAGTGGATCTGGACTCTCTGACCTCCAGAATGCATAAACAAATAAGGCTTTCATCTTCAAAGTATGCTGCAAGTGCCTCTTAGCCTGGCTTATTAGAGTGATTCAGCATACGTTGCATGTCTTATTCCTGGGGGAATTCTGTGCCAAAAATTAAAAATTCTGTGCACAATATTGTAAAATTCTGCATATTTTATTTGTCAAAATAACACGACAGTTTCAATTATTTTGGTATTTTATTTCAAAATATCTGTTAGCAAGTATGTCTGTAACAATACACACAACAAAAAAGATTCAGGAAATGTTTTTGACAAATAGATTCCTTACTGGACATACGAATACAGAACTTTGAGTAATAATTAGGGCTGTCAAGCCATTAAACAAAGTAATTGCGATTAATCACGCGATTTAAAAAAAGTAATGGAATACCATTTATTTAAATATTTTTGGATGTTTTCTACATTTTCAAATATATTGATTTCAGTTACAACACAGAATACAAAGTGTACAGTGCTCACTTTATATTTATTTTTCTTACAAGTATTCGCACTGTAATAAACAAAAGAAATAGTATTTTTCAATTCAACTAATACAAGTACTTTGTAGTGCAATCTCTTTATCATCAATGTCTAACTTAGAAATGTAGAATTATGTACCAAAAAACCCTGCACTCAAAAACAAAACAGTGTAAAATTAAAGCGCTTACAAGTTCACTCAGTCTTACTTCTTGTTCAGCCAACCACTAAGACAAACAAGTTTATTTCAAGGAGCTGACTGAGGAGATATCTGAGCAATTATCCTTGAGAAATCGTGGAAGACCGGAGAGATTCCAGAAGACTGGAAAAGGGCAAATATAGTGCCTATCTATAAAAAAGGAAAGAAGGACAACCCAGGGAATTACAGACCAGTCATCTTAACTTCTGTACCCAGAAAGATAATGGAGCAAATAATTAAGCAATCAATTTGCAAGCATCTAGATGATAATAAGGTGATAAGTAACAATCAGAATGGATATGTCAAAAACAAATCATATCAGACCAACCTGATAGCTTTCTTTGACAGAGTAACAAACCTTGTGGATGGGGGGAAAGTAGTAGATGTGTTATAACTAGATTTTAGTAAAGCTTTTCTTACTGTCCTGCATGACATTCTCATAAATAAACTAGGGAAATGCAACCGAGATGGAGCTACTATAAGGTGGGTGCAAAACTGGTTGGAAAACCATTCCCAGAGAGTATTTATCAGTGGTTGAGTCATGCTGGAAGGGTATAACGAGTGGGGTCCGCAGGGATCAGTTCTGGGTCTGGTTCTTTTCAGTGTCTTCATCAATGATTTAGATAATGGCATACAGAGTACACTTTTATAAAGTTTGTGGACCATACCAAGCTGGGAGTGGTTGCAAGTGCTTTGGAGGATAGGATTAAAATTCAAAATGATCTGGACAAACCGGAGAAATGGTCTGAAGTAAGTAGGATGAAATTCAATAAAGACAAATGCAAAGTACTCCATTTAGGAAGGAGCAATCAGCTGCACAGATACAAAATGGGAAATGACTGGCTAGGAAGGAGTACTGCGGAAAGGGATCTGGGGGTCATAGTGCACCACAAGCTAAATATGAGTCAACAGAGTAACGCTGTTGCAAAAAAAGCAAACATCATTCTGGGATGTATTATCAGGAATGTTATGAGCAAGACATAAAAAGTAATTCTTCTGCTCTACTCCACTCTGATTAGACCTCAACTGGAGTATTGTGTCCAGTTCTGGGTACCACATTTCAGGAAGGATGTGGACAAATTGGAGAGAGTCTAGAGAAGAGCAACAAAAATAATGAAAGGTCTAGAAAACATGACCTATGAGGGAAGATAGAAAAAATTGAGTTTGTTTAGTCTGGAAAAGAGAAGACTGAGAGGGGACATAAGTGTTCAAGTATGTAAAAGGTTGTTACAAGGAGGAGAAAGAAAAATTGTTTTTCTTAACCTCTGAGGATAGAACAAGAAGGAATGGGCTTAAATTGCAGCCAGGGAGGTTTGGGTTGGACATGAAGAAAAACTTCATAACTGTCAGGGTGGTTAAGCACTGGAATAAATTGCCTAGGGAGGTTGTGGAATCTCTATCACTGGAGAAATTTTTAAGAGCGGATTAGACAAACCCCTGTCAGGAAAGGTCTAGATAATACTTAGTCCTGCCACGAGTGCAAGGGACTGGATTAGATGACCTCTTGAGGTCCCTTTCAGTTCTATGATTCACATTTGCAGGAGATAATGCTGCCTGCTTCTTGTTTACAATGTCACTTGAAAGTGAGAACAGGCATTCTCATGGCAGTGTTGTAGCCGGCCTTGCAAGATATTTATGCGCCAGATGCTCTAAAGACTCATATGTACCTTCGTGCTTCAACCGCCATTCCAGGGGACATGCACCCATGCTGATGATGGGTTCTGCTCTATAAAAATCCAAAGAAGTGCGGACCGACGCATGTTCATTTTCATTATCTGAGTCAGATGCCACCAGCAGAAGGTTGATTTTCTTTTTTGGTGGTTCAGGTTCTGTAGTTTCTGCATTGGAGTGTTGCTCTTTTCAGACTTCTGAAAGCATGCTCCACGCTTCGTCCCTCTCAGATTTTGGAAGGCACTTCAGATTCTTAAACCTTGGGTCGAGTGCTGTAGCTATCTTTAGAAATCTCACGTTGGTACCTTCTTTACGTTTTGTCAAATCTGCAGTGAAAGTGTTCTTAAAATGAGCAACATGTGCTGGGGTCATCATCCGAGACTGCCATAACATGAAATATATGGCAGAACGCAGGTAAAACAGAGCAAGGGACATACAGTTCTCCCCAAAGGAGTTCAGTTACCAATTTAATTAACGCATTTTTTTTTAACAAGCATCATCAGCATGGAAATATGTCCTCTGCAATGGTGGCCGAAGTATGAAGGGGCATATCAATGTTTAGGATATCTGGCATGTAAACACCTTGGAATGCCAGCTACAATAGTGCCATGCCAACGCTTGTTCTCACTTTCTGGTGATGTAAATGAGAAGCGGGCAGCATTATCTCCCATAAATGTAAACAAACTTGCTTGTCTTAGTAATTGGCTGAATAAGAAATAGGACTGAGTGGACTTGTAGGCTCTGAAGTTTTACATTGTTTTGTTTTTGAGTGCAGTTATGTAACAAAAAAAAAATCTACATTTGTAAATTGCATTTTCACTATAAAGAGATTGCACTTCAGTACTTGTATGAGGTGAATTGAAAAATACTATTTCTTTTGTTTATCATTTTCACAGTGCATATATTTGTAATAAAAATATACACTTTGATTTCAATTACAACACAACAGATATGAAAATGTAGAAGAATATCCAAAATATTTAATAAATTTCAGTTGGTATTCTATTAACAGTGTGATTTAAAATTGTGATTAATTGTGATTATTTTTTTAATCAAGGTTAGTTTTTTTTAGTTAATCGTGTGAGTTAACTGCGATTAATTGACAGCCCTATTTCATAATTTATTTAAACTACAACACAGAAACATATTTCCTGCACCCATCAGAAGCCGGGCAAAGGCTTAGTAGTGTCAGGAGTAATGGAGGAGCTGAGGGAGAGGGAAGTAATTGCTGGAAAGGAGCCTGGGAGTGAACCTGGAGGGCAGTTGGGTATGGGTGGGAAAAAATAAGGAACAGTTTTTCTGGGGGGGTAGGGGAGGGATTGTTAGGGAGTTGAGGACCCTCCCCCATGCTGACCCCAGCCTCTCCCATTTAGTGCCTTTGTGTCCCTGCACCCCCACTCAACCACTCTTCTTCCCCCTGCCCATGTGTCCCTGTACCCTCTCTCAGCCACCCTGTCAACATGTGACCCACTCCCATTCAGCCCCGCCCTGTCCTCCCACTAGCCCTTCTGAAGTCCAGTCTGTGACCACCCCATGTGACTCCCATTCACCCCATGTGCTCCCCTTTGTAGTCTCTCCCCCCCCCACCCCCCAATATTCCATGCCTCCTCACCCGGATCCGCTGTCATGGCGCTGTAAGGAACGCAGCCTCTCTTCTCTGTCACCTGCTACAAGGAGCCAGTTGCTGGTCTGCTCTAGTGCCACAATAGTCCCTGGTGGGGAAAAGGCAGCAGAATGTATTTTCTGTGGAGGAAAAGAAACCCTGCAGGTCTAAGAGCCTGAACTTGCACAGTGCTGGGCAGTCAACTTCGATGAAGTGTACTGGGAATTAAAGGTGTTACTTGCTTTGCAGGATTGAGCCCTAATTTGTGTTGATTCTTCTTTATTCACTTTTAAAATGTAATTTAGAGTGCTTGGAGAGCATCAGTTAAACTGCGAACAAGAAAGAACAAAAGCTAGTAGGCCTTGCTAGCTAGGGGGTACACCCTTGGCAGGTATTAAAGGTGAAATGTAGAGTTGGAGGGAAAAGTTTGCTCTTCGCTGCTCTCTCTTTTTAACACATAATCGGGGACATTCATTGACACAAGATATCATTGAAGCCAAGAGCTTAATCGGATTCAAAAAAGGATTATGCAGTGACATGGATAAGGAGAGCATTAGGTAGGATAGAAAAAAAAATTGAGAGAGAATCCTTTGTTTTAAAGCATAAGATGTCTGAAGTAAAATGAAACTTTCTCTATGGACTGTTTACTGAGACTCCTCAATTACAAAAAGAAAAGGAGTACTTGTGGCACCTTAGAGACTAACCAACTTATTTGAGCATGAGCTTTCGTGAGCTACAGCTCACTTCATCGGATGCATACCGTGGAAACTGCAGCAGACTTTATATATACACAGAGAATATGAAACAATACCTCCTCCCACCCCACTGTCCTGCTGGTAATAGCTTATCTAAAGTGATCATCAGGTGGGCCATTTCCAGCACAAATCCAGGTTTTCTCACCCTCCACCCCCCCCCCACAAATTCACTCTCCTGCTGGTGCTAGCCCATCCAAAGTGACAACTCTTTACATAATCAAGTCGGGCTATTTCCTGCACAAATCCAGGTTTTCTCACATCCCCCCCACCCCCATACACACACAAACTCACTCTCCTGCTGGTAATAGCTCATCCAAAGTGACCACTCTCCAAGTTTAAATCCAAGTTAAACCAGAACATCTGGGGGAGGGGGGGCGGGTAGGAAAAAACAAGAGGAAACAGGCTACCTTGCATAATGACTTAGCCACTCCCAGTCTCTATTTAAGCCTAAATTAATAGTATCCAATTTGCAAATGAATTCCAATTCAGCAGTTTCTCGCTGGAGTCTGGATTTGAAGTTTTTTTGTTTTAAGATAGCGACCTTCATGTCTGTGATTGCGTGACCAGAGAGATTGAAGTGTTCTCCGACTGGTTTATGAATGTGATAATTCTTGACATCTGATTTGTGTCCATTTATTCTTTTACGTAGAGACTGTCCAGTTTGACCAATGTACATGGCAGAGGGGCATTGCTGGCACATGATGGCATATATCACATTGGTGGATGTGCAGGTGAACGAGCCTCTGATAGTGTGGCTGATGTTATTAGGCCCTGTGATGGTGTCCCCTGAATAGATATGTGGGCACAATTGGCAACGGGCTTTGTTGCAAGGATAAGTTCCTGGGTTAGTGGTTCTGTTGTGTGGTATGTGGTTGTTGGTGAGTATTTGCTTCAGGTTGCGGGGCTGTCTGTAGGATTTTTCACCTTCGAAAGCATCTGGTACTAGCCACTGTCTGAGATAGGATGCCAGATTAGATTAGACTGGTGATTGATCTAGTGCAGCGATTCCTATGGTCTATGATGTGAAAAGACTCCCCAAATAAAATAAACTGTTTTTTGTTGAATATTTTTGGAGAATCTGAACAAAGATGTGGAGAGAGAGAGAGCGTGATGGAGTCTTCCATGAAAAAGGAGCTATAATGAGGAATAACTTTGTTTTTGCTACAGTTTAGCCTTAAAATAATAAACTTAAAATATATACATGCTCTTCCAAATCGTGTTTGAATCTGAAACATTTTTAAGTAAGGACATTTCAGTTATACTTAAGAATTAAGGTTTTCTCCTTCATGCAATTACATATCTTTTTCTTATGTAGTTTAAATATTACTATTAAGCCCAAGCAGTATGCTCAACCCTGTACAGGACACTGATATCAATGCAGTCTCTGCACCAAATGTAAGACCCAAAAAACAAACCCCACTAGGAGAACCAGAGGAAGGAGCCAGTGTAATTAAACTTTTTGAGAAAACTGAGGTATTGTTTCATGGTCTCTGTGTGTATATAATGTCTTCTGCAGTTTCCACGGAATGCATCCGATGAAGTGAGCTGTAGCTCACGAAAGCTCATGCTCAAATAAATTGGTTAGTCTCTAAGGTGCCACAAGTACTCCTTTTCTTTTTGCGAATACAGACTAACACGGCTGTTACTCTGAAACCTGTTTCCATTTGTGGATCATTAAGAGGGATTTAAATAAGCGAAGGGTTGTGCTCCCACACCTGATGCTGTTTCACCTTTATGCTCTATATTACTAATGATTTTCAAACCTTAAAATATGGACTGAATTGTTAAGATTATTTATATTTGCATCTGTAACATTTAGGCCTTGGGAGTTTTGATATTGCAATATAATTTATTGTTTTCTGTTTAGGAAACTTATTGAATGAACATGTATATATTACACAGTATTTCATATTTTATTATTTTTTTTTTTTAGGAGACAGCTTTCATCTTGACAATGGCAGCTTGAAGTCTATTAAAGTCCAAGCATTTATTTTGTTTTTAAAAATTACTGTGCAGGTATGTAAAATATAAATCTCGGGAATTATTTTCTCAACGTTCTTCTTTATTTCAGCATGTTGTTCTCAATGTGGGGAAACAAAATACTGCATATTTTCACTTCCTTTTTACAAATATTCATGATTTAAAATCTGTTTGCATATTGTGAAAAAATTGAAATAGTACAACAGTTTAAGATATCCAGAATCCTTATTTTCTCTTCACACACTTTGCATTCCATATTAAATTTTACAAACTTTAATAATGCTGTGATACATAGTGCTATAAGATGTCTTATACCGAAGATTTAGAGAAGAATCATGGGTTTGATATTGAGGATCAGAACAGATACCCAGGACACTGTCAGCTTTCAGTCTAGTCAGTATTGCACCTGTCTTGTGTGCAAACTGAGACTTCACAATCACATTTTCCTATTAAGCTTTTTTTTCTTGTTGCAGCCTGAAACTCAGAAAACAAGAAACTGGCCATATAGGGGAAGTGGAGATGATAAATACACACATTGCTGTCAAATGCACAAGAAAACTGAAAAGATAAATATTTTTTCTTTAATTTCTTAGTTATGGTGATCTTGGCTGTTACTTTTAATAAGTATTGAAAAAACCCTTCAGACATAAGTGGTTTTTTAGTTGGTGTCAGTTAAAATGACTAACCATGAGTAAAAAGCAATATAATATGTATTAAAATGTATCCATAAAATATAAACCAATTCAGAGAACTTGTGATCTCTGAAATACTAGATGAGTAATTTTAGGGGGAAATCCTGCCCTCTACTATTCTCTCCATCAGATTCCAGATGCAGGAGAAGTGGGGTGGGTCTGATACGGAAGAGTAGGGCAAGAGGTCAAGAGACTATAGGATGATCTGTTCCAGCTGTGTGCTTTGGAGCAGCAGGGGGATCTGGGATATGACTAAGTAGTATGATGGCTGAGGGGTCAGTGGCTCCACCATTTAGTGGATTTACTGGTTGTTCCTAACCCCAGCAAAGCAGGCATGTGGGAGCCTTAGGCTACAATAGCCTTCAGGCTGCACTAGAAGCTTGAGAGCCACTCTTTTATTAGTTGTCAACCTGGGTGTGGGAGAAAATTCCTTCCCTCTGGCTTCCTTGAATTCTTTCACACACAAGTCCTGTTTGGCTTATACATTATGCAAAGGGCTTGGCCCTAGAATATTATTTAAGATCATCTTCTTGGTCCAATGTTTTCAACATGTATTGTTTTCACCTCTTTGAATTCCTCAATTATTTTCTCCTTCACCACCACATTTAAATAAAAATTTCTGGCCCTCATCAGGTCCTTTGTAAGTGGGTTCCTACCTGCTTTATCCACATTTTCTCTCTTTTGTGTCAAGCCCTTCCTTCCATCAACCATTCCATTCTTTGTCTTCCAGTTTGCTTCCATCACAAACAACTGCATGCTTTTTTCAACCATCCTTTTTGTAGAGAACACCTATCCTGATCTTCCCTGGAAATTCACTGCATATCTCTTGGATCCTTCCTCAAGGCCCACTACTTATGGGGAAATTGTCAGTTAATAATGGCTACATGGATTGCCATCAGGGACTTCTGATATTTATCTTAATTAATTGTCTGTCTTAAATCAACAAAAAACATAACTTTCTGGCTGGGCACATATCTGGTCTATTTAAAAGCATGTTCTTACTGCATCATCTTCACTTCCTTATTACTTCTGCTTATTTGTTACACCCATTTTTTGCATATTAATTAGATGTTAAGCTCTTTGGGGATGGGAGAGCCTTTTATTCTCTTCACCTTCTAATGTGATGAGGCCCCAATCCTGACAGGAGCTTCTAGGCATTACTATAATACAAATGAATGTTTTTAATTATTTCTGGGAGCACTAAAGTTGACTTTCCAAACAGGTGAAGAAATGATCCATGTCTTGCTGACAGTCTAAAGACAGACATACAAACAGAGGGTAGGGGAAAGGTATACAACATGTGCTGGCAACAGATACAGTATAAGTGGGGCTGGTAGCACTGCTTGTTGTTTAAGTTACCCAGCACTTCCCATTATTAGACCCTGGTTTCAGTTGCTAGGTCTAGGAGCCGGTGAAGGAAGAACAGGGTGCGAGAACAGGGGATTGGGAGAATTCAGATTGGATGAGGATTGGAATGGGGGAGACTGGGACTGGCAGGACAAGAGTAGAACTGGAAACCAGTGGGGTAGAGGCAATATATAGAGGTGAGGGAAGACAGATGTGGCAAGGAGCTGAGATGCGTGGGAGAAATGAAACTGAATAGGCAAAGGGACTGGCATAAGTAATCAGGGAAGCTGAGGACACTGAGGTTGGGTGGGAAGCCTGGGGAGAGGGAGCCAGTGGGTTGGGGGAATGTGGGCAGGTGATGGGAGGCCAGAGACAAGGGGGAGAGACCAGGAAGTGGGGGAGGAAACTGGACTGGCTGGACAGGAAGACTGGGAGCAAGGAATTGGGATGGGAGAAGATTGGAAATGCCTTGATAAGGAGACCTGGAACTGACAGGAGTTAGAAGGGTGGGGCTAGGAGTGGAGACTCAGTATAGCTTCAGTGTCTCTCACCAAACCTCAGTCCCTGGCCTCTCTAGCTGAGGTTTTTTTGTCCTGCTTCATTCTCAGCCCTCACCTGGAGACATCAACAGGGTCACCACTCCATCACTCTCAGCCTTCAGCTCTCTTTGGCTCTACCGCTCAGAGAGCCAGGAGACATCTCCCTTGGCTAGTGTCAATCTTCAGCCCTCTCTGGTCATGGCTCTTACAAGTTTTGTAAGTGACCACCCAACTGCCTTCCTGCTTTCTGCTATCACCAGCCTTATCGGGGTCCACTGCACAGCTTGGGAACTCTTTCTAATCCCTCTTTCAGGGATATTCCCTGCCTCATTCAATTTAGCTTTGCTCTTCTCCTGAGTGTTGTCTCTAGAATTTGGATTCTGAACTCTTGCCTTTGGCTGTCACTCATTTAAAACTTCCAGGGGCATCCCTGCCCTCCTCATCACACCAAATTAGGGCACAAAGCTGGACTGAAATTGGAGAGGGGCCAGCTACCTTGTTTCATTATTTCTTTCAGCAAAGCAGGTTGTCTTGGTTTATTCCAGAATCAGGATTTGCTACATAAAAGTTAATGAGTTGTTAGATGAGTTCAAGAAGGAATCCTTACTATTATAGCTTTTTATTCTAACAAATAGAAAAGAATTTTAGGTATTCCATGACTAAATCTCTTAAATACATTTATTTTCAGAATATGTGTATATAGAAGTGCAAGTAGAAGCATAAAGCTTGCTAAATCAATATCTCTTACCAAGGTCCACTGGCAAGTACTTAACTTCTTTCTGGCGTTAATAGTCTGTGGTATTAGACTTCTAACTTCCTGTTCAGAATCTAAAGAAAACATTTTGTCATCCTAAACTGATACTTTTTTTAATCATAAAACTTAAGGTCTTGCTGAATTTCAGGTCTACTGATGGGCAGTCTTAGTGCCCCATACGACTATAGATTTAGTTGCATAATAAACTTGAGTCCCCTTCTGATCACCTTGGTGAATGTACAAATGTGTGTGTATTGCTGGCATGGTCAAGATAAGACTTTGTTTGGAGTAAGACTAATGCAGCTTGTGATTTCAAAGGCATCTGGAGCAAGGTTTAGAAAAGGTGGGTTGATTTCACTCTCCCTGCCCTTTAAAAGACATGTATGATATTTTCCAATATACCTTCTTCAACTTCAGTATTTATTATATACAGAAAAACTGTTAAAAGAATGTTTCAAGGGCTTGACTGTGAAAGCTAAAGTTAGGAATTCGCAATGACAGCCTGGGACTGGCCATGCAGTATTTACTCTGTTGCCATGTATGTCTATCCTGTGCATTGAATGAGGCAGGGTATTGTGGGGGGAAAAATAGTATGTGATCGTGTAATTAAAGATGGTACAATGATGCATATGCCCAGGGCAGCAGAAATAAATTTGCGTGGGCAGCTGTATATCTAGCATTTTCCGACTGGATTTTGCAGTCTAGATAATGTTTTTAATGCCCTTATTTGATCAGCATGCTCCTTCCTGTGCATATGAGCAAGTATTGCCATAGTTCAACATTTAAACCCTTTTATACTTTTGGCATTCTAGTAATTTGATCATCTCTTCCTTATACTTAAGTCCTGATAAGGTAGATCTTGTCAGTACCAATTTGGGTAGGGACTTTTAAAATTGCCAGAGGTCCTCTGTGTGTTAACCTAAACTTTGTCTTGAAATTTCTAGTAGACATGTCTGCATGTTCTCCCGTTGATTTTTATTTTGTTTTAAATACATCTGTACATAAGTCGTCTTAATGTCCTTTTATATTACACACCTAGCTGAAAGCTAGGACACGTCTACAGTACCACTGAAGTCCATCTAACTTATGTCACTTGGGTGTGAAAAAGACACCCTTCTGAGCAATGCAAGTCACAGTGACCTAAGCGCTGTGCATTCCAGCGCCATGTTGGCATAGAGTGTCTTCACCAAACGTGCAGCCGTGCCGATGTAGTACTTCTTTCTAGTGTAGACCTGCCCCATGTCTACAGTGGTTGTTTTGATAGCTAGATATTCAGTATTCATGCCATATGAATAACTGACTTTTTTTTTTTTGGTTCCGGGGAAAACCCAAACTGGAATTTTTGCTGTATTGAAAAGTTGGAGGGAAAAAAATACAGTTTGGGTCAATTGAAACATTTTGTTTAGATTTGGGGCATTTTCAACTTTTTGTCTTATTAAGAGCAAAGGAAACTTAAAAACAAAGGGTCTAGATTCACAAAACCATTGAGACTGTGGGGCCCCTCTTATACCTTATAAGCCTAGGATCTGGGAAACCTGTTTCAAGTCCCTGCTCCAGAACAGTGACTGTAACCTGGGTCTCTCAATAGCATATTACACACACTTAATGTCTGTTAAATGCTACTGATGGCTTTTTTCTTACTTTCCTTTATATTTATATATACTATATTTATAGTCACTGTCTATAATCTGTATTTTGTTTTCTTTATTGATGTTTAATAGGTTACAAATGGTGTGGGTTTTTATCATGAACCGAATGAGCTCCCAAAGCAGTTCCTCCACTCAGCGTAAGCGAATGGCTCTTGGAATTGTCATTCTTCTACTTGTTGATGTGATATGGGTTGCATCCTCAGAACTCACTTCAGTAAGCATTGTTTCATGCTTCTTCTTTTTAAAAAAGGGGAGAATAATATTACATTTATACAGAGTTTTACTTGACACATTTTTTTTAATCTTAAAAAAGGGCGAAAAAAATCTGAATCCTCCAGGTAGCTAACCAGTACTATAAACTATGTGAACTGAGAGCCATGAGCCAGCATAATGTAAGAGCTATTATTTTAACTATGGAGGGTTTTGTTTAATCTAGAAATTGTCAGTATCTTGAACCAACAATCATCAGAGGGGTAGCCATGTTAGTCTGGATCTGTAAAAGTGGCAGAGTCCTGTGGCACCTGATAGACTAACAGACATATTGGAGCATAAGCTTTCGCGGGTGAATACCCACTTCGTCGGATGCATGACTGCATGCATCCGACGAAGTGGGTATTCACCCACAAAAGCTTATGCTCCAATACGTCTGTTAGTCTATCAGGTGCCACAGGATTCTTTGCCACTTGAACCAACAAGTATTTTTATTTTTTAGTTAGGGAGTCAAAACCTGACTTCTTATTATATCAGTGGAAAAAAAAATGCCAAGTGTTGCCACAGGGAGCAGTTATATCCTTAAAAGTTAGTCTGTATAATGAACCTGTCATTCTAGCTTTACATTTCAGATTTTATGAAACTACTGCCTGTAGCCTGTTAGGGAAAATTATTATGGCTATATTTGTTCCCATACTGAAAAATCAGCAATGTTGCTGTTAATAGACTAAACACTAATATAAGTAGTTAAAGATCACTATTGCTTAATTGTAGTTTTTAAACAATGCCAGCATGTTTACAAATGAAGATTGATTTAATAAGCTTTGAAACTTTACCATGAGGAAGAAAAATGCTGCTTTTAACCATCTTGATTTAAATGAAACAAGCACAGAAATGGTTTCTTTACCTTGTGAAATCTTTTTTTTAACTTTTTCTTTGTTTTAGTAGTTTAACACAGTACTGTATTGTATTGGTGTTTTTGTTTTTTGTTTTGTTTCCTCTGCTGCTGCCTGATTGTGTATTTCCGGTTCCAAATGAAGTGTGTGGTTGATCGGTCAGTTCATAGCTCTGGTGTTCGTAATTCTGAGATTCTATCGTATGTGTTTTGACTTCAAGAAGACCTGCTGGGCTGATTTGGACTTGAAAAGCACTGATTGAGAAGTCACATGACTCATTAGTAATTATGAAGACTGTAACTATTTATTTTCATTCCGCAGTACGTTTTTTCGAAGTACGAGAAACCTTTTTTCAGTACCTTTGCAAAAACGTCCATGTTTGTTCTATACCTCTTGGGATTTATTGTTTGGAAACCATGGAGGCAACAGTGTACACGTGGGTTTCGTGGAAGGCACGCAGCTTTTGTAAGTATTTTTCAATTTAATAACCTAAATATACACAATAATTCAAAGTTTTAAAGGGGGGGAAATTGAGGGTTAGTGTATATTACTTTGCTGATAGTGATATTGGCAAGGCCCCCTACTGGAGATGCCCATTATGCCAGAAAATATTCTTTACCCAGCGTAGTTAAGCCACCACCCTGAACATTAGTTTTACTGGCAGAAATAATTTTGACATTATAAGTTGCATCTACATGGGGTTATTTTTGCTGTCATATCTGTGTCAGTTAGAGGTTTTGTTTTGTTTGTTTTTCCTCTTCTCCTTGTCTTCCCTGTCAACATAGCTATACTGGCAAAACTTTGTAGTGTAAACCTGGCCTTACAATAACATAAGCTAAACTCCAGATGTTAAGTGAATCAAATACTGATTTCATTAAAATACCATTACAAACTGAACAGACAGAAATGGTAATTGCAGGTTGTACAATTGAGTCTATACCTGGAACTCTATACTCTAACATTATGATTTGTCACTTTTTATATCCAGTTTCTTCAGATTAATTCTGACTAGCATGTTTAGAGAGACTACAATCACTCTTCTTCTTTTTTTTTTTTTTGAGATCACGTTCAGGAACTTGTTAGAATGAGTTTTAGTTTTCTGTCACCAACTAAATGTATTTGTAGGGTTTTATGTTATTAAACGTCTTTGTGGACAAAGATTCTGCTCACATTATGATGGGCATATTCTACACTCAAATTTGGTGTTTGATATTAAATTCAGTGTCTAAAGCAGGGGTGGGCAAATTTTTTGGCCCGAGGGCCACATCGGAGTGCAAAACTGTATGGAGAGCCAGGTAGAGAAGGCTGTGCCTCCACAAACAGCCTGGCCCCCACCCCCTATCCGCCCCTCCTACTATATGTGCCCCCCTGAGATCCCACCCATCCAACCGTTTCTTGTCCCCTGACTGCCCCCTCCCAGGACCCCCGCCCCTAACAACCCCCTGGGATTCCACCCCCTATCTAACCTAACCTCCCATGCTCCCCGTCCCCTGACTGCCCCCCCCCCCAAAACCTCTGCCCTATCCAACTGCCCCCTGTCCCCTGATGATCCCCCCCAGGACCCCACTCCCTATCCAACCCCCCCCTTGCTCCCTGACTGCGCCCCAGGATTCCCTGCCCCTTACCAACCCCCCGGCCCCCTTACCATGCCGCTCAGAGCAGCATTTCTGGGTGCCACACCGGAGCCAGACACACTGCCACGCTGCCCTGCATGAGCGTGCTGCCCGCGCGGCGGCATAACTACAGGGGAGGGGGGACAGCAGGGGAGAGGCTGGGCGCTAGCCTCCCGGGCCAGGAGATCAGGGGCCGGGCAGGACAATGGGCTATAGTTTGCCCAACTCTGGTCTAAAGACTCAACTCTCATGAAAGGCTTGGAACTAACCTCATGTTACAGAGGCATAGAAGCAATTCCAGGGGAAATTTCAGAAGACTAGAAGAGTGCTAAAAAAGCAGGCAGAATCACCTGGGTAACTGTATGTCCATTAGCCTGACATCAATCGGGGCAAAACAATGCAAAAGCAATACAGGATTCAATGGATAAAGAATTAACAGATAGGAATATAATTAGTGCTAGCTAATATGGTTTTGTGGAAAATAGGTCTTGTGAACCCTGATTTGAGTCTTTGAGATGACAGATGTGGTTGATAAAGGTAACAGCATAGATGTAATGTACTCAACTTTTGTAAGGTGTTTGACTTTTCATGCAACATTCTGATTAAAAACAACTGTACTATAGCAAGAGAGCACACATTAAAGAGATTAAGAACTACTAACTGATCTCTCAAAAAGTAGTTGTCAATGAGAATCATCTTTGAATGGGGTTACTTTTGGTGGGGTGCTGCAAGGTTTGGTACTAGGTGTGACATTATTCAACATTTTTTTTAAGTGATCTGGAAGTAAATATAAAATCACTGGTGATAAAATTTGTGGATGACACAAAGATTGGCAGAGTAGTAGATAATGAGGACAAAGCAGTCATACCTATTCATCCGGATGGCTTCGTAATCTGGGCCTGTTCCAAAAAATGTATTTGAATATGGCCAGATGCAAAGTTATGCACTTAAGAGCAAGGAACACAGTCCATAACCTGCACAGTGGGGAATGGTGTCTTGGAAAACTGATTCTGAAATGGATTTAGGGGACATAGTGGACAAGCAACTGAACACGTGCTCCATATGCAATTCACGTTAGATCTTTTTGCCAGATCCGTGACTGTAGGAACAGTGAAGTGACTTTACCTCTGTATACAGTGTTGGTGAGTCCTTAATAGGAATAATACATACCATTCTGGTGTCAACATTTTAACATGTTGAAAAACTAGAGAATGCTCAGAAAAGAGCCACAAAAGTGAAATGAGAGCTGGAGGAAGTGCCTTCCTTAAAAATCTCAATCTACTTAGTTTGAGAGGAAGATTTGAGAGGTAATTTGACTATGGTGTACTTTCTTGGGGAGAAAATGCTGGGTGTGAAAAGGCTCTTCAGTCTCGTGGAGAAAGGCATAATAAGAACTAATGGATGAAGCCAGACAGATTCATTTTTAACAATGAGTGTGATTGATTATTGGAACAAACTACCAAGGGATGTTGTGAATTGTTCATCTCTTGATGTTTTTCATATCATGACTGGATGCCTTTGTCGAAGATACGTTTTAGTTCACTACAAGTTAGTGGATTTAGTGCAGCAGTAACTGACCTTTGATACACAGGACATCTGACCAGATGATTTAATGATCTTTTCTGGTTTTATAATCTATGAAAGAAGTAAAAATAGTGCATAAATCTCTCTCAGATTATGTAAACTTGAAGAGTAGGATTTGGTGGAATAGTGTAGATCAGGGGTCGGCAACCCGGCACGCAGCCCATCTGGGTAATCCGCTGGTGGGCTGTAAGACGTTTTGTTGGCCATCCACAGGCACGGCTCCCCGCAGCTCCCAGTGGCCGTGTGCCAAAGGTTGCTGACCTCTGGTGTAGATCTAGCTAGAGTTCTTCAGTCTTTCTGGCTGTTTCCTCTTAGATATAGGGAGGGTCCAAGAGAACAATTTCATTTATTTGTTAAAAACACAATAGATTTTTATTAGTTAGGTAAACAATACTTTCCATTGAGTCTGGGAAATATAATGTCTTTTCGGGCTTTTTATGGTTTTAAAAAATTGGTGAAAAACATTCAAAAGTTTTGACATTTTTGCTTTCTGGGTGCTTTTTTTGAAATGTGCTCTGTATACTGTAACTATTCATTTTTCATCACTCACTTTACACTTTAATAATGTGTAGAAAGGATCTAGTGCTTGGGAATTAGTTTATACTTGAAGATAGGATAGACTTGATACTCTGAAGTGAAAAATGACTTGGCTAGTTTAGAAAGCCATTGATGGCAGCATATTTCCGAAGTACAATGTAGAGATAGGATTATTGCATTAAGTTGGGGGTGAGGCAAGTTTTTTCTTAGGAGCAGGGGAAGAAGGTTGTTTTGTAACTGTGTAATTCCATATAAACATCTTGTTACCAGGGTGGATTTGATTTAAATCAAATTGATATAAATCACTAGTCAGGAAGACTTGATTTAATCATGGATTTCTACGTAAAAGTGCATTCTTGTCGGTTGTTATAACCTTAATACATATTCTTCACAACTCAGAGATAGCTGTAGATTTCATTTTTAGAAGGTACCCACTATACATTTTCAAAGTGATTTATTTTGAAAATTTTTCAGATTAGTTTTACAGCTATATCAGAAAATGAATGATTGTTTGGTTATTTCATTTACCAAAGGTAATTGAAGCAGATAGTTCACCTCCCAATGACTTCATAAATATCTCCAATTCAATAGTCATTAATTTGGAGGATTTTCTTGCCTTCCTGTATTAGGAGGAGAACATCACCAGACAGACATTTAAATTGTTTATTTAACGATAACAACATTATGTATTCTGGATTTTTTTTCTTCAACAGCAAACATAATAATTTAATAAAACAAGCATATGAATTTAATTAAACATTTGGTTTTTTTTAAATCAGGGTTGTTGTTTTTTGTTAAAATTGTTTTTAACTAAAACAGTTAAATGAAATTTAAACAAAAATTAAATAGACTATGTCAGCCAGGTCAACATGAAAAATTTAAAATATTGGCTTCTGCAGCAAACTTCACCTTCATTTTCCTGTTTGTTCATAATCTGGAAAAGAAGAACAAGCTTTCCTGCTTTTTCAGGTCCCAAACGATTTCTCAATTTGGAATTAATTAATTAACTAATGGGAGCTGCTGGAAGTGATGGCCAGTACGTCCCTTGGCCCACGCTGCTTCCAGCAGCTCCCATTGGCCTGGAGCAGCGAACCGTGGCCACTGGGAGCAGCGATCGACCGAACCTGCAGACGTGGCAGGTAAACAAACCAGCCCGGCCCGCCAGGGGCTTTCCCTGCACAATGGCGGAACAAGTTTGGGAACCACTGTTCTAGACTGAGCACTGAGTCCCATTGGGTAGATAGAAAGATTAACCTAAATAATCTCTATAGAAGCCCGTGGAACCCCATAAGATTGGGTCCCTAATCCATGAACTATTGGAACTCATTTACAAAATTTTTCTTAAACATTACGTGAATATATTGTCTCATACTATAGAATTAGCATTCATAATCCCTATTCCATGATGAGATATCTTTGAGCTATAACGTGTCTTAATTAAAGCTATCTTTAGATAGGTTTTTTCCCTCAAAAAGCATTTTATCAAAAAAATCCAATTTAAATAAAAATCTGACTTTTTTTTATTTTTATCCACCCTGCTAAAAGATTACTATTAGACGTTTGAATGTTTACTGTTACTAAAAGATGTACTATTAGACATTTGAATGTTTTAAAACAATGTTTTAATGTTTAAAACAATGCACCAACCTTAACCAATCTAATATATTTATAGACATTCAATTCAATAATTCCTTCAGCATTTCTGATAATAAACAGTTATATATAGATTGTGTGTTAAGCCAGTAGGGAATTGCTCTTTGCAGAACAAGACCTAGTTTTACTGTTGCTGATCTTCTCTGCTGGCTTGTAAAATATTAATAACTTTATACTTATTTTTCTTTTCAGTATTTTGTGACTAAACTATGGTAGACTACAATGTAAACATTTTTACTTAGGATTTTATATAATATTTTACAATGACTTGTTAAAGTTTTAAATGTAAAATCTCTAATTAGTTTGCAGATGCTGAAGGTTATTTTGCTGCTTGTACAACAGATCACACTGTAAACAGTTCTTTGGTAAGTCCCTTCATTTTTTTGTATGATTAAGACACCACTATGTTTGTCAATTATTTCCATCCTATTCTGAAAATTGTACACTTAAATTTGCAGGCATCCAGGAAATAAGATGAGTTACATTTCTCCTTTAATCAAAATGACTGAAAAGCATTTAGTTAAAATGGCAGTAATGTGTCATGCAAGAAATAGTGCTACTCACAGTGGGAGATGTGGGATCTCTCTGAAATAAAACATATTAATTGAATTTAGATTGGACTATGAAATAAATATCAGTGTGTCATACAAGGGAAACATTCCCAGGTTCAGCTCAATTTTTGCAAAGCCAAATGTGGAGAGCCAGTGATAAATCCAAACAGCCTTCAAATCCAAGGCCCGTACAACAGTGATTCAGCTGGAGGTGAACACATTAACATATCATGATCTCATCTTACAACTTGAAAGAGAAATAAACTCCAGCCAGGTTTACCATATAGGTGATTTTTGTCAGTCTTCATTTTTAAATCTTGTTGGGACATGCATGGTAGTTGCTATATTTGGACTGGTCTAAAATATTAACTTGTTAGAAGATTTAAAAAAAAAAAGAGGTTACTTAACGGATTTAAAATATATTCTAAAATAGATTGGTCATGTATTTTTATATGTGTACTAGAAAGTTGAAATATCTTAGTAGTAGTGAAGAGACTTGGTAGAGCGATCGTGATACTGCTTAAAAATTCTGACTGTCTTGCTATTTCATGGAACTTGTTTTTCCTTTAGTATTTTGTTTCCAGGTATCCTAAGATAACAGTTTTGCTAACAGTTTCAATGTTCTTTTTAACTGCATATGCTACTTGTCCTGCTGCATTTCAGAGTGAACCTTTGTATGTTCCTGTAAAGTTTCATGACTTACCAAGTGAAAAGAATGGCAGTGCTAACAGTGATACTGAAAAAAGTGAGTAAAGACTTCAGAATTTCAAAATGCTCTTTGGTACAGGGACTATTTTTGTGTCTGTATTGCCCCTGTTGTGGTTGCAGAGCTAGCTCCACCACTATCCTGTTCCTGATCTCTGTGAGCAAATCCCCTCAGGTGTCTGGCCTTATTCCTTGCCTTTCCTGGGATGGAATTTTGGGATTTCCCCCCACACTTTTAGAGTTGATCTAAACTTAAAAGTTAGGTTAACAGCTACATTGGTCAGGGTTTAAAAAAAAAAAACATTTTAATGGATAGCTGTGCATATTGTCACTCCTACAGTAATAGGTGCTATAGAAAAACCTAAGACACTGTTATAATTAGTATTGTTTTTTTTTTGTTTTCATTTAATAATCTAACTCTTTTTTGTATATAAAAGTTTCCTGTCTGATGTAACTATTAGATTCTTTGACCCATTCTCCAAACCTGAAAAATCCTCCAGATTCCTACTGAAACTTTGAGGATCTGTGTAACGCTCCTACCCTCAGAACGCTATATTGCAACCATCCTTTTCTTACAGTTTAGCATAACTGTATGGTGTACTTTTTACTGAGAAACACTAGCCAGACTCTTCAACAACACAAGATAGTTTCTCTTGCCTAGGGACTGTTTTTGTTGCCTCTGTATTCCCTGCTTGTCTAAAGAGCAAGAAATCAGGTGAAATCCTGGCCCCAGGGTGAAGTCATTGACTTCAGAGGGGACAGGGCACCATCACAGGACTGGAAAATGGAAGTTCAAATCATTATCACTCTGTCACTGAGCTAATTCTTTTGTTGTTAACTTAACCACTACTTGTGTTGTGGAATCTTTTTATTAGTTTAAATTGGTACAGGCAACGTAAGATCAAAAACATAACTTTAATTTTCCCATGTATGCAAATTTGTGCAACTTTTAACATCTGATAATTTCTTTAAAACAAAATCATTAGAACTTGAGCTATTGTGCATTATTAAAAATACAACCTGCATACAAAGTAGTGGGGAAAAATAAAGTAACAGGCTTCATTGTCAAGTTTCAAAGGAGTCACTCTGAACAGACCGTAATAATTATTTAAAACAATTATGAGGTCCTTTTTTCATAAGTACCCTATCAAGTGGTATAAATACTATTTTGTTAAAAAAAGAACTAAAGCAAATCTTTTGTTGGAGGGAGAAGCTTCATGTCATGATTTGTGAACTGCTGTAATCAATGGGATCAAACATCACTTCTTTTTTTTGTGTGTGTAATAGAGTGAAAAGTTGAATGATCATGTGCCACTTTGTTTTTTCCTTAAGCTCCCAAAAAGCCTCGTGTAAGGTTCAGTAATGTTATGGAGATTCGACAACTCCCATCGAGCCATGCACTGGAAGCAAAGTTGTCTCGCATGTCATATCCAACTGTTAAGGAGCAGGAATCAATATTAAAAACTGTAGGGAAACTCACTGCAACTCAAGTAGCAAAAATCAGCTTTTTCTTTTGCTTTGTGGTATGTCCTTTGTTCTTTAAGAAAATTATTATGTATAGCTACGAATATCGAACTGTTTTACATAGTAATGAAAATGAACTTGTATTTAACGTTGGAGTGTGGTCTGTTTTTTCAGTGTTTTTCTCATTTTATGTATATGCTAAATACAGTATAACCTCTCTGATCTGCACTTCCCTAAAACGCAACTCTGAACAGTACACTGGGTTTTCAGTGGCTTGCATTTAATTGTAGCAGAGGTTCTACTGCTGGCAGGGCCATTGTAAATTATGTCTTACTCCACTCTTCAGAATGGATGTGGTAAGTCACTCACTAGTCTTGCCCGGGCAGAAATCCGGGGTTACTTAAACAACAGCTGTTGTTTCTTCCTTGTATAGAGGAGTGGGGCTGAGCCCTGACTGTACCCACAACTTTGTGGATATAGCATGTAGAACTGCCTTTCAGTTTCAGGGTGGAGAAGGAGAAAGGACTTATAAATGCAGCTGTTGCTCTGCTCTCTTTTTGTGGAACCTCTTGAAAGCTGCCACCACCTTGTCTGTCTCATCCTGTGGCATTATACACAGCCATGCAGTGATGTGAAGATGTTTGGCTTGTGACAGAGGATATCCTCAACTCTCCCCAATGAGAATAGATAGGGCCGCAAGATGTCTTTATCCTCATCAGCAGACTGGTCATCTTCACATACTTCTGCAGCAGTTCTCAATGTCATGGAAACACAGAGGTGAGAGTGGCATGTTTCCTAAGAGCCAGCACTGAAGAGGAGGGTAACCAAGCAGTGGTGGCCCTTCCAACAGTGGCCCCACTGTACTGCTAGAGACGTTTTATTTAAATTTAAATTAATCTGGTTAAGAGCAAGCCACACATAGCTCTTAGGCCAGCAGGAAATACTTCATGGGTATAGCAGCTCAGGAGGTGGCTTTAACTGGTGCACTGACCAGAGGAAAGTGATCTGACAACTGGAATTTCTTGAGATGGATGCATATATTGAGAAGATGTCCACAGAATTTAAAGGAAAACTAGTTGTATATTTCATATATATGAAGGAGATTATAAAGTAACAATCTTTTTTAGATTTATTTTCTATTTTTGCACATGTACTTAAAAACTGTCTGGAATAAGATTATTCTTTCCTTTTTGTTTACAAACAAATTAAATGATACTGCTCTTGCTTTCGCAGTTGCTTCTAAAAGGTACCTTGGCTGTATCTACTTCTGTATTTTTCTTCTTGGGCATCATTCAAAAAGTAAAATCTTTTTGAAATAATTTTTGGGAGAATGGTAGCTTCACTAAGAACATCTTTAGGATAACATTATTAATGAGGTCTTGCCCAAGACATGATCTAATATTTACTGTTTTACAAAGGATTTTACAAACATTTAATCCTCACAAAATACCTGTGAGATAATTGGTCTATGCATTGTATTATCTCTATTTTGGAGATGCTTGTTTGTTTATGTACTTAAGATGTTTTAAGACTCCAGTATATGAATCCGTTTAAGTGAGATGATGATTAATTTAACCTTTTGAGATTTATGGAAATAAGTAGTTTCTCTTAGTTTTTGAAAACCGTTTCAAAATGATGACTTCAGACTAAGTTGTTAGCTTTTTGGTTGTTGCTGACTTGCAGTTGCCATTTCACTGATTATCTCTAGTGTGCATTTTTTTAAAGTCTGCAGTAGTTACTTTATTGTAGACACCTCTGAAACTGTTCATGTTGCCTGTTTCACCTCTGCTACTTTATGCCTCTGCCTCTTCTTAATAACAATTAGAAATTGATATTGTTATTTATAAGGCAAAAGGACTTGTGTGAAAGCCTTGTCCTGATTGATTTTTTTGTATACTGGTTCAAGTGATATCTCTGGTAAATATAAAAAAAATATAAAAATTGTAGGAATTAATGCACAGGCAAAACAGACTGTTTTAATACATTTTGTGATTATCCATTTATTCATTAAACTACTTTCCTTGTTCTGCAGTGGTTTTTGGCAAACTTCTCTTATCAAGAAGCACTCTTAAATGCACAAGTTGCCATAGTTAATATCCTATCTTCAACCTCTGGTAAGATATGAAATGTGCATTGTAAGAGCTAGTGAAATAGCTGTTTATAAATTAAAGCTCTTTTTGTTATGCTAGCACTAGTTCATTAAATTGACTATTATGTGTATCTTTGAGAAGCGTAAAGTTTAAAAAACAAACATGACAGCTTAGACACATTCCCTATATTGTTGGAAATTATTTTACTACCCATGTCTTACCACTTTGCAACTTGCATTCTTTTGTCTGTATATAGCTCTGCAACTACATTACATTTTTATAGTTAGGATACTTTTTGGACTGTAGTAGTTGCAAGGAAAGCTGACCTTTTAGGTGGCTGCAATTTACTGTTGTTTAAAAAAAAAAAAAATCCTTCACATACAGAAGAAATTTTTTGTTTTAAAAGTGAGCTACTTTTCTAGGATGCTCAGCCATACCTGAAATCGATGTACTGAATGCCCCTGACTATGAGAGGGGTATTTTTAAAATTTTAGATTTATTACTTTTTTCTTCAGCATCTCTTGTGAAATCTAAATTTGAAATAATGCATTGAACAGAACCTCCAGCATGTGCTGAATCTGAAACCAGCAACATTTCCTTGGGTTTTTTGTCTTTAAGCTGATCATGATTGCAGTTTCTATACAACCTTAAGTTTTAATTGGTATGAGAACAATAATAAAATTTACAATGTATTTTTTTTTTTTTTAAATGGGGAAGGGGAAAGCACTATGCCCCCGTAGACTATATGTAGCGAGTATTGTGGATGTGATCTGAACCAAATGGCACAGCTGCTGTGCTGCAAAGAGCTGGTGATAATATGAGAGGTCTGGACTACAATAACCCAAAGAAGGGTGGGAGTGAAAGTAATTTCAGTGAAAGCTCTGCTGTATACCCTGATACTGGTCACTGGAAGCATTAAGGACATAAATCTAATTTTAGTTTTGTGAATTTTACACTTGCAGATCTCCTTTTAAGAAAAAAAAAATCCGCTTTTGAACTGCAAACAAAAAAAAATCTAGCACCCTTTCAAGTTTGCAACATAAAAACAAAGGTTTCTTTTACACTGGAAAATTTGCAGGGGATTTCATAATTAGAACCAATCAATTCCACTGTTTGGAGGGGTGAGAAGAAGTACCAAGCTACAATGTTTTTAGGAAATGGTTAGTTCTGCCATTGAAGTGTCTTAATTTAAAACTATATGAGCGCTTTTTTTGTATCTCATATTTCTGTTGACCCAAAAACCATAATCTGTCCCTACTATGGACATCAAGTTCTCTAAATAGGTTTTTTTTTAACATGTTCAGTGAGACTGTCTAATTTTATCATAGCATGGCAGACACTAATTGCTCCCCAGTTTTGCTTTAACATGTAATTAGACTTAGTCTTTCAAAGTTGATACTTACATTTATCGCAACCCAAAAATAGCGCACTGCTTTAGTTACTGCTATTTAAAAAGTGTAGTTCCAATATACACTGGTTTTGGCATGGGCTGATATTTTTATATATATATATATATATATATATAAAAAGACTTAACTGAGTTTATTTCCTTTGCATGTTTAAGTTGCAATCTTCATTTTTGTTAAATGTATTTTTACTTGTCGGGGGCATAGATTTTGAATTTCAATTTAGACACTGTCAACATTTCAGCAATACAAGAAAATTAGAGACAAACTGACATACCAATTCGGTTGCAAAAATTCAGATTAACAGTATGGAAACTAAGCTGAAGTGAGCAGCCAACATTTAAGTTAAATTGAGGTAGTGGTATAGTGGTAGTACAGTTTATTGAACAGGGGAGTAATACAGCTTGAAAAGATGTTACACCTTTTTATTTTCTCTTACAGGACTTTTTACCTTAATCTTAGCTGCGGTGTTTCCAAGCAACAGTGGAGACCGGTTTACCCTTTCCAAACTGTTAGCTGTTGTTTTAAGGTAGGCCTATGAACTCTTAATCTCCAGCACCCCTTCTCTGACCCTACCCCTAAACAAGCTGGTATTTTTTTAAACTGTTAGTTCAATTTATTTGGTGAAGAATGTTATTTCAAGAGTAGCAGATCTTGGCAAGTTTTTTAAAGAAAATAAAATGTAGAAGAGTGCCTGCTTAAAATTTCACTTTTTTTGACAACTGCTCTGACCAGGAGTCTCCTCCCTCTAAATCAGTGGTTCTCAACTCTGGTCCACCGCTTGTTCAGGGAAAGCCCATGGCAGGCCGGGCCGGTTTGTTTACCTGCCATTTCCGCAGGTTCGGCTGATCGCGGCTCCCACTGGCCGCAGTTCGCCTCTCCAGGCCAGTGGGGGCTGCAGAAAGCGGTGTGGGCTGAGGGATGTGCTGGCCACCCTTCCCGCAGGCCCCATTGGCCTGGAGCGGCGAACCACAGCCAGTGGGAGCCGCGATCGGCTGAACCAGAGGACGTGGCAAGTAAACAAACCGGCCCGGCCCGCCAGGGGCTTTCCCTGAACAAGCGGTGGACCAGAGTTGAGAACCACTACTCTAAATGTAAACCTTTCGTTAATAGAATTCCCTATATGCTAGTTGCTGAAGACTAAGTAACCGAGGATTAAGGTTAAAACACTGCTGGAGCCTTGTGGTGTTACTACTCTGCTGTGGAATGACTTGTTTTACTATATATTTTCACTTGAACCCATTTTTGGGTCAGATGACTTTGGTGTGCAGCATTAGGGAGCTAATTTGAAGTTCAGCTAATTTTGACTTTTTAATGTTTGTGTCTGAAAGTTGTGTGCATGATACTTAAGTAACTTCTAAATATTTAGATGGGTTAGGAAAATAGATGCTATGATATATGGGTAATCTGGTTAGTTTCACAGTTTTGTTCTGCTATCATTCAAAACTCTCAGCTGTCAGATTTTTATAGATCTGCTCTGAACTCACCCCCCCCCTTCTCCACTATGTCAGTGGAGTTTTGGGAAAGTATATAGTGTGTATACAACAATGGTGATATGCTTCAGATTCTTTTGTTTTATTAGTCAAAGTGAATCTCAACTGTAATGAGCAGGGCATCTTTAAGCAATTATATTTTAGTGGTCATTTTAACCTAATTTAAGATATAAGTATAGGATTTGGTTATAAAATTATTAGATAATAAATACTAACACTTTTCTTATTGCTAGTTAATTTTAGATTTTGTTTTAATGCAGATGGAAAGCATTAGATGTTTAATGAAACTTAATATCTCATGTCAGCTTTGTTCTCACAAAGGCCTGATCCATAGTTCAGTGAAGTCAGTGCAAAGAATCACATTGATTTAATTGAGCTGTGGAGTAGGCCTTAAAGCACAGATTCACCAAAAGGTGGGTTCAGTCTAATTACAGATATCTAAAAACTGGTGTCTTTATTTGCTGGTGTGCGTGTGCGTGAGATTTAATTAAAAAAAAATAAATCTGTGGTATGCCTAATAGTTGATGATGTTTTTTCCTAGCATTGGCGGTGTAGTTCTTGTTAATCTCTCTGGGTCTGAGAAATCTCCAGGAAGAGGTACAATAGGTATATTAAATATTTTTAAAATTTTATTCTGTAAATTGAAATACCAAGATAAATGTAACATGTTGGGTTTTTTTTTTAACTGCTCAAAACTACAGGGTGGGAGAAGGAAATGTTGTATAAATCTGTCATGTATTAGACTCTGTAAGATTAACTGCTGAAAGTGGCTTGTTTTGAGGAATGCTTTTTATTAAATACCCTTTCAATATATGCATGTAGAGGGTCACATCTTCATAAGTTTAATTCATTTTATATAATAATGGATTCTACAGTAAACTATTACAATTAGAAAATTGCCCAGTAGAGGGAATTAAGTATGATAGTCAGATTGATAACACTATGCCTAACCCATTTGTCTTAAAACAATATTTTTCATCTTTTACAGGTTCCCTGTGGTCTCTTGTAGGAGCAGTGCTGTATGCTGTCTATATAGTTATGATAAAAAGAAAAGTAGACAGAGAAGATAAGCTTGATATACCAATGTTCTTTGGTAAGAACAGCAATATTGTAATATAGCAATGACTATATTGAAAACAAAACTTTCATTTACAGAATGACTAAATCCCTTGCTCTTCAGGCCCCAATCTTGTAAACACTTAAACGTGCATGTAAAGTTAAGCATATATGTGTCTGCAGGTTTAGGGCCTTAATCTTTGAGTATTCTCAGTACTAGTCCATTCTTAGGTCCTGATCCTGAGGAGTATTGAGCAGCAGCTCTCACTGTAGTCAGTGGGAGTCTCAGGTGCTTGACACATCTCTGTAAGGCCATCAGTGACAGTGACCCTCTGTTGATGATTCCTGTGATGTATTTTTATATTGAATAAAAACTGGATTGGTATGCTGAAATTTTTGTTGTAGTGCAGGTTTTGTAGTGAGCAGTTCAATATGGTGTCTCCACTTTGCAATGCCATAATTTCTGAAGTCCAAATTGTAAACCAGAAGCCATATATTGTGCCATAGAGCCTTACTAACCTTCAAAAATGTAGTGTTCTGACCCTGCCTCTGAGCAGACTTAATAGCAAAGTGCTACTGGGAGTTTTCATATTAATAAAATTTCAAATGTACTAGTATATCATGAAATATAAATAAAACTAAATGATGAAATAAATGACCATAGTACAATTATGTTCAGTTGCTTGCTAATTCACAGAAATCAGTAATTTGCAGTGAGTCTTCCAGTCTTTGTGCTAATTAGGCTTTAAGAAACTATCTGCAAAATCAGTAATCTGCAAAAATATCTACAAAAAGTGGAAACATGGATGAATTACAAAGGAGATGGACAAAAGAATGTTATAAGCATATGGGACAAAATTGGAAAAGGGAAGGCACAAAATGAGTTACATCTAGCAAAGGACATGTGGCAATAAGAGGAGGTTCTTTCAGTACGTTAGGAGCAAGAGAAAGATGAAGGAGAGTGTAGGTTCGCTACTTTGAGGGGAAGGAGAGCTAACTAATGCCATCAACAAGGCTGAAATGTTTTATGCCTCTTTTGCTTAGTCTTCATTAAAATGGTTAATTGTGACCAGATACTCAATACAATCAATATTAACAACAAGGGGGAAGGAACGCAAGCCAAAATAGGGAAAGAACAGGTTAAAGAATATTTAGCTAAGTTGGCAGGGCCTGATGAAATTTATGGTAGGGTACTTAAGGAACTAAATGAAGCAATCGCAGAATTGTTAGTAATTATCTTCAAGAACTCATGAAGGACAGTTGAGGTCCTAGAGGTCCAAATATAATACCTGCCTTTTAAAAGGGGGAATAGAGAGGTCATGGGAAATACAGACCAGTCAGTCTAACTTTGATACTTGGAAAGATGATAGAACAAATTATTAAACAATCAGTTTGTAAGCACCTAGAACAGGGCTAGTCAATAGGCAGATCGTGGGCCAAATCCAGACCATCAGATGCTTTTGAACGGACCCTGAAATCATTTTACTTATTATTTTTTTTATTATTATTATTTTCTCTGGGGTCTGGACTGTGACTATATGTTCACCAAGAAATTTGGACCTTCACTAAATATAGGCTACTTCTGCCCTAGAGGATAAAAGGGTTAAAAGGTATAGTCAACTTGAATATATCAAGAACAAATCATCCCAAGCCAAGCTAATTTCCTTTTTTCATAGTGTTACTGGCACAGTGGATAGGGGGAAGCAGTAGATGCGATATATCTGGAATTTTAGTAAGGCTTTCGAAATAATCCCACATGACTTTCTCATAAGCAAACAAGGGAAAAGCAGTTTAGATGAAATTACTATAAGGTGAGTACATTTAGCGGGTCCCAGAGTCTGCTACTCTGCTACAGTCCTGGGTCTGCTACTGTTCAATATTTGCATTAATTACTTGGATAAGGGAGTGGAAAGTGTGTTTATAAAATTTTTGGATGATACCAAACTGGGAGGGTTTGCAGGCACTTCTGAGGCCAGGCTTAGAATTCAAAACTACCTCACAAATTGGAGAATTTGTATGAAATTCAATAAAGACAAGTGCAAAGTAATTTTAACAGTTGGAAACAAGTAAAGTCAGCACCATGTGGTCATCTACTTTTTCCAGACCCACGAGCAAGTTGTTGATTGACCAAGTTCATTCAGTGGTTCATGCACCATGGTTTGAAACCCACAGTAGTAGTGCTTAACCTGGAATTATTATTATAAATTCCGATCTTTTTTTCCCCAAAGTTTGATCTTTTAGTTCTCTTTTCACATGTAGGCACTGACAACCTATTTTCTCAGACCCATGTTTTCTTTTTATAACTCTTGTCTAACTGTCCAATGCACCCCTGTTTCAAATGGACAGTTGGATTCAGGCAGGAGCTCTTACTGACCAGTGTCACTTTTAAAAAGTCCATGATAGAGCTTTGTTGTTGTTGTTTTTTAAAAAAAACAAACATGTTTTATGCCTTGTTACTAGTCCAGCTTTCATACTGTGACCCTATGTTGGAATTGAAAAAAGCTTCAGGAGTCCCTCCCAATAGTTCTAGGACCATCTAGTCATTAAAAATGATGGTGGTTGTGACACCCTGGATTCCCTATGCTCTAGATCATCCCTATTGCTAGTGTACATTCTTTCTTGTTGGAATCTTTAAAATGGAAGATTGCTTTACTTGTGGAAAGCCAAATACGCATTCTGAACTTGGGGAACTACTAAAAGCCTAGAAGTGTCACATATTGTAAATATTTAAAGTATTGCTTGCCATTTTCAGTTAAAGATTCCTGTATTCCTTTCCCCAGGAATAGGAACAGCCTATTAAGATAGTTTTTCTGCAGCTTTTGCCAGACATTTGGACTTTAGGGGAAGCCAAGTAAGGGGAGAAGGAGGTAAATAAAAAATTATGATGAAACTGAAAGGAAACCAACATTAATTTGATTTTTATGTTCAGGTTTTGTAGGCCTCTTTAATCTGCTGCTGCTTTGGCCAGGTTTCTTCCTACTTCATTATACTGGATTCGAGGCCTTTGAATTTCCCAATAAATTGGTATTGATGTGCATTGTCATTAATGGCCTTATTGGAACAGTTCTGTCAGAATTCCTCTGGCTGTGGTAGGTACTGTTTACTTCATATAAGTTGTCCTCTGATACATTACTTAAAGACTGTGAGCTGCTGAGGTGTCAAAATGATTAGGCTGTGTTTTTGTTTTACAGTGATCTGTAAAGGCAGTCTGAGTTGGAGGAAGTCATCTGATACATCATAAATTATGGTTTAAGAGCAGTTAGCCTGATAATTGTAAAGAGAAAATGGCTCGAGATTATAGAAAGAAACAAGTGTACATATTATTTAGAGCTAAGAAGAATAAACCCGGTAGTTATTAATTTTGTATATTGTTCGCCAATTATAAAACTATTAGAGGAAAGATGACGAGATTTTGAGGATCCTGTTTATCCTGAAATTGTAGTTTTCTTGTGCTGATTTCTGCTGAAACAATACACTTACCAAAAAAAAAGGTGAGCATTAATCATCTTGGATTATGAGTTTACATAAAAACTATTATTTAAATTCCAGACTCTTGCAATATCCTGGCAATGCAAGAATCATATCCAGTAAATTACATACTTCCATAGTTTAAAAGTTTAACTGAATTAGATTTTTGAAAAATGATTGCACTGGTATCTTATTAGCTTGCATTAATCACTAGGAGATGAATTACAAATTAGCAAGTCAGTAAACAAAGGAAATCTGGGATAATGTGTATTATGGGTGAGTAACAGTAGGAATTGGGTCAGTAACAGTAGGAATTGAACCTGAGACTTCTGGGTTTAAGACCATGGTCCTCTACAGCATGAGCAGAAGAACTAGGATCAGAGGTGGTTCTTTGAGTACTTGTTCATGTCAATTCCAATTAGGTGTGTGCGTGCCACATGCACAACAGATGGAAGATTTTTCCCCTAGCAGAATCGGGAGGGTTGGCCTGGGCACGCCCTGGAATTGCGCCTTCATGGCGCACAATATAGCACCCTGCCAACCCGCCACCCCCTCAGTCCCTCCTTACCGCCAATGATGGCTAGCTGGAACTTCCCTCACTCTTGCTTCTGCAAGCTAGTGTCCCGTTGTATTTTGTATGTAGTTAATAGTTTTTGTCTTAAGTTAATACTAGTAGTGGCGTTACTAGGCTGTTTTCTTTGTGGAGGTCCCCCCGCTTCTTTTCTCCCCCTACGCCTGGGGCATGCCTCGGACTCTGGGGTTCGAACCATGTGAAGTCTGCGGAAAGTTGATGCCAAAAAGTGGCCTGCACACTTCTCGTTTGAAGTGCCTTGGTGAGAGTCACCAAAAGGACAAGTGCCGCATTTGTAAAGGGTTTTGGCCAAGGACCCTGAAGGATCGCGAACAGAGACTCGGACTTATCCTCATGGAGGCAGCCCTCAGCCCGCAATCCGACCCTGGGTCAGCGGAGCCCATGGCAAGCTCCGCCTCTTCTGTGCGCAGCACACCAATGGTGCACAAGTCAGCTCCTAGAAAGGAAATTAAGGACGCCCGGCACCAACACAGCGCCGCACGTAAGACTTCTGGTAGGTGCCGATATGTATTCCTGGTGACCCAGAAGAAAAAGAGGCAGGAGAGAGGACGCTCTCCCCGTCCTAAGCCTAAGGAGACAGCGGCAGGGAGACCTTAGCACACCCAGCCTACTTTGGGTCTGGCAGCTCCCAGGGGCTTGTCGACTCAAGGCACTGGTAATAGCCAGACCGCCTGTTCCATCTAGAGGCAAGCCAGCAATGATGTCATGCTGCTCACCATCTCCAGCACGCCACTCCCCGGTGCCGGCCGCCCACGGGGGGAAATTGCATCAGTCTCCAGAGGCTTGGCACCGCTCTTCGGCACCATCCAATACTGTTCCTCTGTGGTCTTCTTTTTTGGAGACCTCGGAGTCCAGCAGCAGGAGGTCTAGATCTAGGCAACACCGCCAGCCTCCTCCAGCACCATGGCTACCTCAGTGGCAACCACCAACTCAGTAACTCTTTTGGGCTCCCTGGGCTAACCATCAGGCTAAGGGTCAGGACCAGGCATAGAGATCCAGATCGACATTGATCGCGACGGCAACTGGCACCGGGTCCATCTCCAGCAACGACTCCTGCCTGCTGCTTTGAGCTCGGCGCTGGCAGCCTCAGCACCATTCACACGAGGACTGCCACCCTCTTGGCACCGAGGGCAGTGATGAGGGCCATGGGCCAGTGTTTTCGTCCTCGTCCTCCCCAGATGACCCTGTTGTGGGCATGTCAAAAGCCCCGGCCTTGGAGGATAGTAGGGTCCTGCAACAGCTGTTGCGCAGGGTGGCCCAGAACCTGGGGATCCAGGCAGAGGAAGTGGTATAGGACGAGGATCCCATGGTGGATGTCCTCGCCCCCTCTGGACCCTCGTGTATCGTGCTACCACTTATTAAAACTATAAGTGACAGCACAAAAACTTTGTGGTAGACCCTGGCCTCCTTGCCCCCCACTGCAAGTAGGAATGAAAGAAGCTATTTCGTCCCCTCAAAGGGGTACCAGTACTTGTACGCTCACCCTCCACCCGACTCCCTGGTGGTGGATGCTATGAACCAAACGGAGCGCCAAGGGTTCCAGGGACCCTCTCCTGAAAACCGGGAGGCCAGAAAGGTTGACTTATTTGGGAGGAAAGTATACTCCATCTCTGGTTTGCAGCTCCAAATTGCAAACCAACAGGCCTTCATTAGTAGATAATCCTTTAACACCTGTGGAGCGATGGACAAGTTTGCTGAGCTGCTACCACCAGACTCCTGTTCTGAATTGAATGCCTTGGTGGAGGAAGGCAAACTCATTTCTAGGGCTTCCTTGCAGGTGGCTCTTGATGGCTTGGATGCAGCCCCCGTACCATGGCTATGGAGGTGGCCATGAGGAGGTCCTCTTGGCTCCAGATCTCTGGACTACCTCACAAAGTCCAGCAGACCATCCAAAACCTACCTTTTGAAGGTCAGGCATTGTTTTCTGAAAAGACAGACAGAAGACTGCACAGTTTAAAAGACTCGAGGGCTACCCTCAAGTCCCTGGGTATACACACCCCCACCACACAATGCAGGCATTTCAGGCTGCAACCTCCTCCGCGGTTTTACCAGCAAAACTGACAGGGTGGTTCCTGGAGGAGGAATAGGAGCAGCAGGAAGTGGCCGTACCTGTCCTCAGGCCAGGGCTCTGCCGAAACCAAGCCTTCTGCGGGCCAGAAACAGGCCTTTTGAAGGCGCGCACGAGGATGTCATACCAGATCAGGAACTGGATCTGCCCCGCCTTACCTTTTCGTCCCAACTATCCCCTTTCTATTGTGCATGGTCCCGTATCACTTCAGACCTCCGGGTGCTCCGCACAGTAGAGAGGGGATACTCCCATCCAATTCTGTGCCCTCCCACCCTTCCACCTCCCTTCCCCATCCCTCTTCAGGGACCCTTCTCATGAGCAACTCCTTATACAGGAGGTGCACTTGCTCCTTTTACTAGGGGCAGTGGTAGAGGTTCCTCAGGAGCAGAAGGGCAAGGGCTTCTATTCCTGGTATTTCCTAATACCGAAAGCCAAAGGAGGGCTCAGGCACATCCTAGATCTGCAAGAACTCAACAAGTTCGTGAAGAAACTCAAATTCCACATGATCTCTTTAGCCTCCATCATCCCTTCACTGGATCCAGGAGACTGGTATGCCGCCCTCAACTTGAAGGATGCTTACTTTCACATAGCGATAACTCTGTCCCACAGAAAATACCTCAGGTTTGTGGTGAACAACACCCACTACCAGTTCAGTCCTTCCATTTGGCCTGCCAGCTGCACCTCGAGTATTCACAAAGTGCATGGCAGTCGTGGCTGCATTCCTGTGCAGGCGACAGGTACAGTGTTCCCGTACTGTAACAACTGGCTGATTAAGGGCTGACGCAGGGCTCAAGTAGAGAAGTCCCCTTCATAAGAGCATCTTACGATGAATTGGGCCTGCTACTGAATGAGGGGAATCAAAGCTGTCCCTGGTTCAGAGGATAGAATTCGTAGGGGCAGTACTGGACTCAACACAGGCCAGGGCATTCCTTCCCGAAGTGAGATTTCGAGCCCTAGGTGATAGCATTCAAGGTCGCAGGCAGTTCCCCACCACTACAGCACAGAACTGCCTGAAACTTCTAGGACACATGGCTACTTGTACCTACGTAGTACAGCATGCCAGACTCAGACTTCGATCTCTTCATATCATGGCTAGCGTCAGTGTATGAGCCAACCCAGGACAGTTTGTCCAGGATTGTAACCCTGCCTCCTCCAGTACTCCTGTGGTGGCTCACCCTGCAGGTAGTATGTGCAGGGGTCCCCTTCACCAGCCCTCAGCCATCCATCAGAGGTGTCAGACTTGGGCTGGGGGGCACATTTGGGAGACCTCAGAACACAAGGCCTTTGGTCTCAGGCAGATTTCGCTCTACACATCAACGTCAGAGCTGAGAGTGGTACTCCTGGCATGCCAGACTTTCCAAGCCCACCTAACAGGTAGATGTGTATCAGTCATGACAGACAACACCACAGCGATGTTTTATATCAACAAACGGGGGTGCACGCTCCTCTCCCCTGTGACAGGAAGCACTCATGCTGTGGGACATCTGTGTAGAGCACTTGATACACCTGCAAGCATCGTACCTCCCTGGAGTTCAGAACGAGTTGGCAGATCATCTCAGCAGGTCATTCCATCGCCACGAGTGGTTCCTTAGGCCGGACGTCATGAACTCAATCTTCCATCAGTGGGGCTTTTCCCAGATAGACCTGTTCACCACGTAATGTAACAGGAAGTGTCAGCAGTTTTGCTCCTTCCTGAATCACAGCCCGGGGTCCATTGCAGATGTGTTCCTCCTCCCCTGGGGAGGCCATCTCCTATATGCATTCCTGCCCATTCCTCTCATTCACAAGGTACTCCTTGAGATGTGGAGGGAAGAAGCTTCAATGATATTGATAGCTCCAGCCTGGTCCTACCAGCATTGGTACACGTCACTCCCGGAAATGTCCGTGGAAGCTCCAGTTACCTTGCGGCTTTTCCCGGACTTACTAACTCAGGATCATGGCCGTCTCTAACATCCGAACCTTGAGTCACTCCACCTCACAGCATGGAAGCCCCTGTGGAGCTTTCTTGCTCTGATCAAGTCAGACAAGTTCTCCTTGGCAGCAGGAAACCCTCCACGAGAGCTACCTACCTTGCCAAGTAGAGGAAATTTTCAGTCTGGTTGGCGCAGCACCATTCGGCTCCGATGCTCGCCTTGGTGCTACTTATACTGGACTATCTTCTCCACCTCAAGCAGAAGGGACTGTCTGTGTCGTCAATAAGGGTTCACTTGGCTGCCATCTCTGCCTTCCACCCAGGCTCAGAGGGACACTTGGTCTTTGCCAACCCGTTGGCCAGCCATTTCCTTAAAGGTCTCAACAGGTTATACCCGCGGGTCTGACAGCCTGTTTCAGCTTGGGACCTCAATTTGGTCTTCTACAGACTTATGGGGCTGCCATTTGAGCCTTTGGCGACGTGCTCCTTGTTCTCTCTCTCATACAAGGTGGCGTTTCTGGTAGCGATAACCTCAGCTAGGAGGGTGTCTGAGCTCAGGGCCCTAACATCAGAGCCTCCTTTATACTGTATTCCATAAGGACGAGGTTCAGCTCAGGCCTCACCCGGCTTTTCTCCCGAAGGTTGTCTCCCAGTTCCACATCAACCAGGACATCTTCCTCCTGGTGTTCTATCCGAAGCTGCACTTGACTGGCAGGGAGCAAAGGCTTCTCTCATTGGATGTCCACAGAGCACTAGCTTTCTACATCAAGAGAACTAAACCATTCCAAAAGTCCATCCAGTTATTCGTGGTAGTGGTGGACAGAGTGGTGTCTTCCTGTCTCTTCTCGAGATTTTGTCATGGATCACATCCTGCATCTGTGAGTGCTACAACCTGGCAGGGGTGCCTGTCCTTCGATCACTGCGCACTCCACCAGAGCTCGGGCCTCTTCAACAGCATTCCTGGTGCAGTCCCCACCCAGGAAATGTGCAGAGCAGTGATCTGGTCCTCCATACACACTTTCACTACATGCTAAGCAATTACCCAGCAGGCCAGAGATAATGTGGCCTTTGGAAGAGCAGTGTTCCAATCAGTGAACTACTCCGCCCCACCTCCTGAACTTGGGCTTTGTGAGTCACCTGATTGGAATTGACATGAACAAGCACTTGAAGAAGAAAGAATAGTTACTCACCTTCTCGTAACTGTTCAAGATGTGGTGTTCACGTCCATTCCAATACCATCCTCCTTACCCCTCTGTCGGAGTAGCCGGCAAGAAGGAACTGAGGTCGGTAGGGCCCTCTCTTGGGAGCCAGGAAGTTGCGTCTCCAGGGGGCGCCCAAGCCAACCCTACGGATGCTGCTAGAGGAAAAATCTTCTGGCTGTCGTGCACGCACCTGTTTGGAATGGTCATGAACAACACATCTCGAAGAACAACAGTTATGAGAAGGCGAGTAACCGTTTTTTGTGTCAGGCTTCTGAATTGAGTGGCCTAGTCACTGGACGGTGACTGAGCCACACTGTGAAGGTTCACCTGCATCACAGAGTATAGGCTCTTAGTATTTTGATAAGTTTTAGTTTTAATTGACAGGATATTTTGGAATATTATACACCATCTTGCTAATAAGAGACATCTCTCTAGTGACGCTATTAAATCATTTGCTGAAAAATGAAGCAAGATTGCTAAATCGGAAAAAAATAATAATTGCCAAAGTGTAGATTAGAAAAATATTCTTGTTGTAACACTTGTTTGAGCTGAAACCATTTAAATGTTGAGATCCCAGCTCCTACATTAAGCTAGTGATTTCATGGCTATGCAGTGAATGAGAAATCTCATTTTGTCCCCAAACTCTCCCTAAAATATTTCTAAACCCAAAGAATCATAGGATTCTTTGAGTTAACATCAAACGTCCTTTTATTCATGCAAATAGTCCCAACAAGACCACAGTTGTTTTTTGTTTTTGCTTTTTTAATTACACTTTGTGCGTGCAACGACATAAAAGCATAAGCTGAAGAGCCAAGTGGCAGATTTTGAGTCTTAATTATTTGTTTCTTCATATTTGTAAGTTTGAATTAAACTTTGTACTCCTAAATTTCCGTGTGGTTGAATTACTTCTGTATTTGGAAGAACTTAAAGTGGGGTCATAGAAAATACCTACCAGTTAAAAGTGTTGTGAATGGGAGCTGGAAATTTGGATTTGTGCATTTAATTCTGGGGGAGTGGAGAGTGCTTTTTTGCTGCTTTTGCTCTATAAATAAACAAGGCCTAACATTTGTTTGCTTCCTCTCTCTGCCCCCATCACCCCTGCTCAAGTATTTTTTCTGCCCCCCCCCCCCCTTTTTTTTTTTTTTTTGGTAAAGTTTACCAATATAATGTCCAGTCTAGTCTTTGTTTTGCTGGAAGTCTCTCTGAGAAGGACCCAGTGGCTTGGATTGGGGGTTCTCTCATTCCTTAATTGAAGAGGCATGTGCATTAAATCTTTAGCCAAAAGACTTTTTTCCAACTGTTTGTTCAAACTGTTTGTTTTATTTTTGTTAACACCTATTAAGCTCAATCTTGTGATGTGAATAAAAATCACATCCCCTTTCAGTTAACTAGGTTTCATGTGCATAGCTTCTGTGATGTCACTCCTACTAATTCTCTAGTTATCCATATAATTACATAGGAAAGACTTAACTGAATTTTTAAGAATAGAATAAAAAAATTGATATCCTTAAATTTAAGGTCTTGTTTAAAGTTGGTAATTAGTATTGGTCAGATAACTGAGGGAGAGGGGGTTGTTTTCTGTGGAAAACTTCAACATTTTGGCCAAAAAACTGAAAATCTTAAGCTGAAAACAGAAAATTTTGATTTGGTAATGTCACTATGGTACATCATAAGAGATGTAGTCTGTCTAGTAATCTGGCCCATAGAGGAGAATGGGGTGGTGAGGCACTTGGACTACATCTCCGTTGAGGTGATGTGGTAGCATTTCTGAATAAAATCTTAGCATTTTTCAACCAGAAACTTTATTGGCGTAGAGTTTGGTTGGTTGTGGGGTTTTTTTGGGGTGGTAAGGGTAAGGTTGTTGTTGTTTTTTAACAGGTCAGTCTGTGGAAAGTTATTGGGGTTTTTTTGTTTGATATTTAGTAGAAAGGTCAATTTTCTGTTGAAACAGTTTTGATGGAAAATTTTGACCAGCCCTAGTAATTAGGAAGTTAAATTAAAATAGAAAAAATATATCTGGTGCCCTCTTTGTTCCTTGATGATGGAGATAAAGAAACAAAAAAGGGGAGTAGTTCTGTTTTTTTTTTTTCCAGATTACCTGTAAAACTTCCTAATTACTGATTTTGATGGTCCATCAGCATCTAATACCATTAGACTCATGAATAAATAGGTAATTTAGTTTAATGAACAGTATTGACTGGAGTAGGAAAATAAGCATTTACAGAGTTATTAAATCAGTGATTCTTTACATGACAAAGCAGAATACCTCTTAGGAAGGTATCTGTTGTCAAGCTTGGTTTTACATTTGGGATCATTGACTTGATGGATCATAGTGTCTAACTTACAGCCTTTCTTAATATCTTAGGTGCTGTTAACTTGATACCGAAATGGCTCAAACTAGGCAAGCCTTACCGTAGATCTTTTGTTGGGCCAATAATTCGTGAACTAAAGAATACTTCAAATTCACAGTAATTTCATGAAATGTCTTATTTAAAAAATATATATATTGTATGGCTCAGTCACTTTCACATTGAAGGTGTCCTGCAAAGAACTTTTGAAAACAAACCTTATGGCTTTACACTTAAAACAAACCTTAACTAACAGATAACCTTGATTAAATCTCTTCTGTACTTTAAAGTATTTGTCTTAATTTTTAAATAAGACTTTTATATTTTTTAGGGGCTGCTTTCTTACCTCATCACTGATAGGCACACTTGCGCTAAGCCTTACAATACCTCTGTCCATAATAGCTGACATGTGCATGCAGAAGGTAATGTACACTTGATTACTGATAAGATTTGAGCATTATTAACAGGCCTAAGTAGGTATCTTTTAATGCAATGCCAGTGTTAAAGCTGAATGTACACAATGTACAGTATTTTCCTATTACTGTTAATTATCAAGACTGAATTGTCTGTCATCCTTCCTGTATGTATCTTAATCTTGTTTGTTACTGCATACTTTATCTCACTGAAATACAACTTCAATGAAAAGTAATTTAAATCACCAAACTCTCCCACTTCAGTTCCCTTACCTGGTCTAATTATTTAACTAAACCTGTAGAACATCATGTAACAGCATCCTTAAATAGCAACTTAATAGTGTAAAATCCTGTATGTGGCCTGTATATTTTGAAAATATTCGGTTAGTGATGTAAAAAACCTGTAGGTTAATGTTTGCAGAAGATGGACAATTTAAGGCTTAATCCTAGATTTTATGAATACAATAAACATTAAATTAAATTTGTAAATGAAGCGGTCCCAATTTAAAAAAAAAAAAACACCTTATTTCGATGGATATTGTGTCATAGAAGTTAATAACTATGAGAGAGCACTTCATGTGATTAAAATAAATATCTGAAAATAGTGTGTTTAGAACAGAAATGAGCCACAATTTTTCATTTATATTCCCCCTCAAACTAAATTGTCTAAATTTTTGTTGAATATTCTATTAAAATTAGATCATTTTTGTCATGATTTTCATATAAAATTTAGCTGTCTTTCTGAATGTTTGACTGTAGTATTTTATCAATGGCAAGGAACCCCAAATTCTTAATTTGTTTATATGAATTATAATCTGGATTTAGTGTTCTCATAACACAGGAATGAGGGGTCACCAAATCAAATTAATAGGCAGCAGATTTAAAACAAACAAAAGGAAGTATTCTTTCACACAGTGCACAGTCAACCTGTGGAACTCCTTGCCAGAGGATGTTGTCAAGGCCAAACTGTAACAGGGTTCAAAAAAGAACTAGATAAATTCATGGAGGATAGGTCCATCAATGGCTATTTGCCAGGATGGACAGGGATGGTGTCCCTAGCCTCTGTTTGCCAGAAGCTGGGAATGGGCGACTGGATGGATCACTTGATGATTACCTGTTCTGTTCATTCCCTCTGCGGCACCTGGCATTGGCCACTGTCGGAAGACGGGATACTAGGCTAGCTGGACCTTTGATCTGACCCAGGTATAGCCGTTCTTACGTTCTATGTATAGTAACACATAATACATTCATACATGTTGAGTACTACTTTGTCTTCATTTTCATTCTTGCTTTAATTGACTCAAAGCTCTCCGTCTTACAGGTTTGTTTTTCTGTTTGCTAAGATCATGGGCTCTTAAAACTTTGCTGCTGCTCCTAATGTTGGAGCAAATAATTATTCCGTTTTGCTGCAAAGTCTAACTATAGCAACTGAGATCACTTGATCTGTCTTTACAATACCTGTTTAACTTTTTGGAATCGCTTTCAAAACTAGCACAAGTACTGCTTGTCGGGGGAGGAGAAAGCATACATTTGTGCATAAGTGAGGTGCCTCACAATTTTTGAAATTAGTGTATATGTTATCTTTCTCACCTGTATCGTTAATTCTTCTTTGTACTCACCAAAAAAAAAAAAAAATGGATATCAATCAAGTGCATTTTGTACTTATCAAAGGCAAATCATGAAAGCTTCCTTTATGTTCTGACAAATTTAAACAAATGACAGCAATGACTAATAGTTAGTTGTATGTTGCTAAATAAATCGGAAATCCTCCTTTCCCTTAAATAATATTGAAATGGTTAAAGTTCTTTGGTTTAGATGGTAAACCCTAAAATGGATCAGTAAGCAATACAATAATTTAAAAGCAGCTTACACTTATAGCAATTCGCAGCTTAGAGGATCCGGACTCACTTTGTAGACTGGATTCCCTTCACCCATTGATGGCATGCAGCAGCTGTTAAATGCAACAAAATAGTTTGGCAGGTCAGGAAGTGGACGTATACTCTATTCCATGGGTGGGCAATCTTTTTGGCCTGAGGGCCACATCTGAGTACGGAAATCGTATGACGGGCCATGAATGCCCACGAAATTGGGGGTTGGGGTGCAGGGGGTGAGGGCTCCGGCTGGAGGTGTGGGCTCTGCGGTGGGGCCAGAAATGAGTTCAGGGTGCAGGAGGGGGCTCCGGGCAGGGGGTTGGGGTGTGAGTGGGGGGGTGAGGGCTCTGGCTGGGGGTGCAGGCTCTGGGGTGGGGCTGGGTATGAGGGGTTGGGGGTGCAGGAGGGTGCTCCGGGCTGGGACCGAGGGGTTCGCAGGGCAAGAGGGGGATCAGGGCTGGGGAAGGGGGGTTGGGGTGCAGGAACGGGTCAGGGGTGCAGGCTCCGGGTGGCGCTTACCTCAAGCATCTCCCAGAGGCAGCGGCATGTCACCCATCTGGCTCCTACGTGGAAGTGCAGCCAGACAGCTCTGTGCGCTGCCCTGTCCGCAGGCGCCACCCCTGCAGCTCCCACTGGCCGCGGTTCCTGGAGCGTGAATTGACTTGCACAAGGTCAACCAGCAAATTAGTGGCAGTGCCAGAAATTAACTCAGTCTGCCAGTTGCTGATCACTCCCACCACTCTCAATGGCATTTCTTTTCTTCTGAAGTGGAGTCTTTAATCCAACTTGACTCTGGGTAGTTTGTAAAATCTCAAAAGATCAAAGCTCAAGCACAAAGATGATACATAAAAGTACACTAACAATTCCTTATGGACCTCACAAGAAATATTACTTGGATCAATTTATACATCATGTAGATGTCTTGAGTGAACACACAGGTTTCAGGTGTTACTTATGGTTGTTCAGTTTACACTACATTTTTAGCGCAGGCTTATTTTAAAAAGTAATTAGCTCATTAGATAACTTATTACAGTAGTTCATTAAATTGCAGTTTTTTACATTACTTTTGAGATATTCTTTTACTTGCTTGTAGAGGGTCTGTCCCCATTCTGATACTTAAATGTGGGGAGACTAAAGCTGATCACAAATTTTTCACAGGGAAAATTTCCATTCTGATGAACAATTTTTTTTTTCTATGTGCATTTTTTGTGCATATTATTGTTTCATTTTGATTGAATGTCCCTTTGGGATTTTTTAATACACTGAAAAGCTTTGTTTTTCTTTTTTTGGACTTTAAGGGTTCCCCTTCTCCCCCCCCCCCCCCCCATCTTCTCACTTTTCCCCTCTACTGAAAAAAAGGGGTAGGAGTATGTTGGTGGAGCGTGAGCCAACTTTACCTGACTGTGTTTGAACACTTTTTTCCCACTCTTTCCAGTTGGAAAACGAAGTGGAGTTGTCTTTTCCTGCTGAGGAGGGAAGAGTTCTGAAATGTGTGCAACCTTTTGAATATCACAGTGCTGTCACCTTGTCTTCAGAATAATTACGTTGTCACTATAGTCTTGGCAGACCATTCAGGTGCACAAGGATACGTGCTCACTCCATCTTTATGCAGAACACAGCTCCACATCTCTCTGCTGCCTCGGACACCCCCACTCCTTCTATCTCTGACTCCCTCATTTCCCTGGTCTCCATGCACAGCACTCACCCTGACCCCACTAACATGCTGACTTGCTTCCACTCCACAAGTAGAGCATCCAACCAAGCACTCCCTCCTGTGCCTGAAACCCTGAGGGTAATCTTGCCCAAGGACAAAAATGTAGTTCTCAGTGAAGTTTGTAGTTTGCTCAGTACAAACAAAACTTAGAGGAAACATTGCTACTGTCATGTGTCTCGTTAAAATGCAGGTCTTCATCTGGCTTTCTTGCCTTATTTTTATGCAATTACATGACACTTTTTAGTGGTTATTTCCCAAAATACAGTATCTTCTGGAAGCTGCTAAGCATTCTGAAGACTGGAATCAGTTTTTATTTTGTTGTTTTCCATTATATCACGTAAGGCTGACTTTTCCCAAATCTTATTTTTTGGACATTGGGTTCAGCAACATCTGTATGTGTTGTGAAGTCTGTTGTAGTGACATTTTATGTGGGCCACTGTTTTTGTGGTAGGCTATTTTTAAAAGGCCTTTCTTCATGTGAAATGCCAGTCGCCACAAGAAAGAAAATGACAAGCATTAAGATGGCTGAATTCAAACCTGAATAATAGTAGTGGAAGCAGACATGAAATATGATATATTTTCTGTTTGGTAGAAAGTGAAAATGTTTTCAGCTTTAGGTGTAGAGAAACTACAACTAAAATAAATTATTTCATGCGAATAAGCTAAAGCTTAAACAAAACAAGCCTAATTGTCTTGGCCTTGAAACTTAAGCAAGTCATATAAAAGACATAAACATTGTACCAAGAATATAAAAGTAAATAAAAAGTTCCTCAGTGAATCAAAGTAACTCTTCTCCACAAAAACAGGAAGAATTTCACTCCAGTGCATGTAGGCAGCGATATTTATATCTTTGAAGTGCAAACGGCTCACAAGCTTTTTTTTTATTATTATTTTTCATATTCTGAGGCAATTTGTTTAAATTTATTCGCGGCCATAGTTGAATGAACAGGAATCCTTTTTCGTAATTCCCAGAAAACTGGAACGGTTTCTTCTCTGAACTATAAACCCAAATAGATTCTCAGCCCAGTCCTTTAAATAAATAGAATTTATTCTGTATAAGCAAAAAATACACAAAATCACTGCAGCATCTGAAATGGAAGAGACAGCATTAAAGCAATGTTGTGTGACAGATGCGAGGCACACTAATGCAATGGCAACACAGTTTCTTTTAACTTGCTAATTATTTTTATGGCACTCATCACAATAATCGGAACACTTGTACTGTATCTGTTTGACATTTATAATATTAATAAGCCCAAAACATTTAATAACAAATCTCATTTATTTTACTCACTCTCATCTCACTTGCTCTTTCTTCTTTTCCTTATTTTAATAAATCTTTATCTACCTCTGCTTTCTCCGCCTGTCTGCTGGCAACATCTGTCTTAATCCTAGTCCTCTGCACATATCCACTCCTTTCCTCCCTACCTTCCCTCACCCTTTTCATCCTTCAGGCACATCACCCTCTTACCTTTTTCTTGCTCTTCTTTTCCTGCTCCTTGTGGATTTTCCTGTTGCTTTTATTTCTGACTATTATCTCTTCACTCTCACTAAAAACTGCTGCTGCCTCTAGAATCTGCCTTTGGTTACCCTTTTATTAGCAATCTGTCTCCTCCTCCACCTCCCCATAGACATTGCCACTGAGAAACGTGGTAATGGTGTAGGGGTCTTTTCAGCTTCAAATTGCACACTTTCTAGTTCATTTTCTCTTCACATGGCTGTCATCTACCATCCAGGTTTCTGTCTGCCTGTCTCTTTCTCACACTAATTAACACCATTCTGCTGTGACCTAGGCAGGCTAGGTCTGTCTTTGGTTTTGAACTTGTGGCTGGATGAGTGCTGAATTCTTCCCTTCCTTTCCCTTCGGTGCTTTTTATAATTGAGCTGGTCTGGATAGAACTAACTCAAGGGAGCATTCCCTCTGAAGCTGGGTGCTTCAGGTTGGCTGTGTTCCCCAGAAGATTTGCCTCTTCCCCTAAACACAGAAGCTCTGAGGAAAAGGGAAAAAAAGGGAAAAGTACTAAAATATAAGACATGTGCATGCTTTAGACCTTACAAGTCAAACTTGTTGCAGCTAGTAATACTAGTTAGTATAAAGCACTTTTCATCCATAGATCTCAGTTTGCTTTAGGAAGGAAGTCGGTATCATAATCCCCATTTAACAGATGGAGAAACTGAGACACGGAGCATGAATTGACTTGCACAAGGTCAACCAGCAAATTAGTGGCAGTGCCAGAAATTGAACCCAGGTCCTCTTAGTCCTAGTCCAATGGCTGTCCCCCATGTTTTTAATGCACCTTTTAAGCTCATTTAAACATTTATTTCAATTGTTTGAAGCTAGGCTCAGTTAGAAATTAATGTGGACACTAATCAATTCTAGTAACTGCAGATACAGATTTCTAAGAATGAGGTGTTGTCCATACTCATTAAAACCCCAAGATTTCCTATCACTGTATAAGACTTTATTTTTTTTCCACAAGGGGGAGCCTTGTCTATGGTTAATCAGCTTTTTCCAGCTAAAAAGAAGCTTTTTACAGACCTTGTAATTTCTGTTTTGAAGCTTTACATATGTAGTAGACATTCCAGATGCTCAGGCTAACTATTACTACCCTAGAGTCAGGTAAAATCGCGTTCATCTAATTTATGGCTCACTTTCAAAACAGGTGAGCAAATAACTTAATAAAAAGTGCTGTACTTCCCTCCCCACACACACACAACACACACTCAGGAAGAACAAATTCTTGTTACTTCCAAAACTATTAGCTTCTCCATATACTTTATTTGGCAGACAAAAATCAGAACTTCTTTGCTAGGACCACGTCCAAGGATTTTTCTCTTCAAATATTGTTTGTTTTTATTTCTTTAATGCACACATCTCTGAATATCTCTTTAAATGAGAATTTGGGGGCACAAATTGCCCTGAAATATTTGGTTTTTTTTTCAGCTAAACTGTTGGTCAGAAATTCAAATCTAGGTGGAGTAGGTATGTTGTTTTGTGACATTTCACTTGGGTTGTCCATACAGTTGTTTCAGGGCTTGAAAAATTCGCTTGCCTCCTCATCTTTGGAAATTAAACTTTCATGGATTAGTGCCATCAACTTGTACAGGTGGGTGGAGAAACAAAGAAAGTGCTTCCATTTTTCAGCAACCAGATGTAATTTAGGAGAGGGGAGATGCATGCATATTTTCCTGAGACTGATATGGAAGATGAAGTCCCCAAAAGAGGGTTTAAAGACCGTACCCTAGTATGAATCCCAGCGCATCTCTTTCCATGCCTGGGAGGAGTGTTGGCTTCTCACCTGAATGTGGATCCACATCAGCTTTTAGCTAGAAGATGTAGTCTCTTGATCTTCTGTACCTAGTTATCCTTCTAAGGTCCATGAGTGAATGAGTAAGGATGAGATCATTTGAGAAACTAGAAAAGAGAACCATGTTACCGGGAAGAGAAGGGGAGGAAAAACGTAGGTCCCAATGTAAGGAGGTAAGGAAAAAAGGGAATTGAACACAGCGGATGACTGAGGATACGATGAACCAAGAGATCTTATAGAAAATGTTAAAATGCAAAAACTGTAACATTGTTCAGCATTCAAAGGAACTGAGACCCAACACAGTTTACAAATAGATTTTATTTTTTTTCTCCAAGTGAAAATGTCTCTTAAACACATATCCTGACACTATTGTAGCAACAAAGGAGGTAATAAATTACAAATTCAGTTATCTTTACAATCTTGAAGTTAGACACTTTTAACAATAACAAAAGTAGACACTTCTCAATTTTATGACAGTTGTCACAAAAGAAAAAAGTCCAATGTTAAAAGAAATTACTATTGCACTTTGTTGCATGATAGATAAATTATATTCATGCTCTAATTCCAGGTGCAGTTTTCCTGGTTATTTTTTGCAGGGGCAATCCATGTATTTTTCTCATTTTTCATTGCAACTTGCTTATGCCATTACAACAACTGGGATCCAGTGATGGTAGGAATCAGAAGAATTTTTGCCTTTATCTGCAGAAAGCATCGAATTCAGAGGTATGATCACCTATTGTAATTTCCCTAACTTTTCAGTCTATCTTCCCTATGTATCCTACCTATTTCAGAAGCCTCAGAACTCTCACCCAGGGTTTTTGGCTCCCTCCCTTCTCCTTCTTTAAGAGCACCTCATTGACTGTTTGATTAGGTACCAGTGTAATTCTTTATCTCCATTCTTTGCCCTAATATCCAGTGAGGGCAGAGACAAAATTATAAAAATCCCTGTGACAGGATTGTCTGTCCTTTAAGGGCCAGAGGTCTGGGTCCTGCCAACCCTATTCATTAATCAGATGCAGCTGAAGGGTGGACATGTGTTCCTTATAAAGAGCTGGGCCATCAGGAAGGAACGGTCGGCAGAGCCTGCAGGGAGTCCATTGGGAGGGGAGGCAGTGGGGGGAAAAAAGCCTCCTGGGAGAAGCCCTGGGAAGAGGTGCAAGGAACGAGGAGGAATCCTGCAACAGGCCTTGAAGCAGGACGGAATGAGAGAGGCAAAGGGGAAAATCCCCTAGTACTTGTAGCCCCGTGGGGGTGGAAGAACTGGTTTTGTTTTGTTTTTTTATCTATGTTTGGAAAATAAAACTATGCTTGGAAAGAGACTTTGGGTATGGGAGTGGGGTTTTCATGGGCTGGGGACAAGCCACCATCTTAAAATCCCATTGTACTAAAAAAATTTTCTGCAGTGAATATTCTTTACAGTTTTGGTTTTGCCTAATTATTGTTACCATAGTATTTGCTGTATTTCCGAGACACCAAATGGCTATCTATAGATTTTAATTATGACGACTCTAGTACAGTATATGTAATTCACCTAAGTATTTAGTTTTTTAATGAACACTTCTCAAGAGACTACGTAACTCTTTTATATAGCATTACCATCCTTACTATTCATGTCTCCATGTCACAATATAACCAGTCTTAGCTTTTCTGTAATTACAAAATGAATTTGATATCTCTTTCAGAATGCCAGAGGAAAGTGAACAGTGTGAAAGCCTCATCCCTATGCATAGTGTTTCTCAAGAAGGAGAAAGCTGCTGTTCATAGGCAATAGGTATGTCTAACATGTAAACTTCAAAAGATAAAGTGAATCCATTCAAACTCTAAGTACATTCTTTCCCTCTTGAGGTTAACACCTTACAATGGACTTGCTAATTATTCCATTACCTTCAGTAGCTTTACCTGTTTTATTAACTCTCATTTCCATGAATTAAAGAAGGAGCTCATATATGTTAGCAGTCTGCCAAAGAGTCATGGAAATTTACCTGTGCAGGCACAACATTTACTCACTTGCCCTTTATCATGATTGATACTCTCCCTTGAAATAAATAAAGCTGCTCTCCCTGACAAGGGAGTGTGGAGAATTTTGCAAAGCTAAAATAACTAGAAATGCAAGACTTAGAAAAATGTGGTCATTTTTTCCATAGTCTAATAATGCCTGTTTGGCCTCGAAACAAAATATAGCCCAGCTCTATAATATATTTGCAATCTATTTTTCACCATTCTGCATGCGCAATTTCAAATACGTTTAATACTAGGACTGGAAAAGGTATGGAAAATGGGAAATATAGGATCAAAATCAATAAAATTAATTCCTAATGCATAGCATTAATAATTCTGTTTTCATTTTTTTCAGTTTAAAGATGGATTCATACTCAGCAAAGAGACAATCTCCTGGAAAGTCCATAAGGAACCATATTTCAGTGCCTATTCTACATTTGGAAAAAACGTTTCAGTTCTTTTGAAACTCCTAAACTTTTATTTTCCCATAATTGCCTGTCTTCATCTAGTTCTATCAACGAACAACTTCACTATGTGCATATCACTACAACTATAGGAAATCCCAGTCCATCTAAACTACCAACCTGCCTTATAGAACTCAACTTGAAATTACTTGACATAATCAAGAAAGCAAATGCTGGTCTGGTGATTTATTTTTTGTTTTTGTCTTCACATTTTTGTTAAATGCTGGACAACAAGTTGTTCAAAAATTACTTTAAAAAATGAATACGTTAATAAGTCTGCAGGTTGTCATTTCTTACAGGCTTTCAGATTGAAAAAGCTAAATATGTAGGTTACTTGTAATAGGTACGGATTAACATTTTTGTTCTATAAAGTCTATTTGCATATTAACACATAAAATTAGAAAAATATCTTAATTTATTAAATAAGTACATTCTTGCAACTGTCGGAGCAAGACATATGCAGGTTTCTGGAACACTGCGTATATTGCTTTATCCCATTTTAAAAAACTTTGTAATAGGAAAGGGTGCTTTGTGTTTAAAAATCTGTTATGACCTAACAATCTGAAACTTTTAAAGAAGTGTTAGTATAAAAAGGTTATTGTATTTTTAAATTTGGCTGGACAAGCACTTGATGTAAACGTTCATAATTCAGAATCAGTCTCTTTTTGAAAACTTAATAGTCAAAATTATTTAATATGTAAAATTGTAAATAATTCCAAGATGCCATGTGCGCAGCTGCTTATTTGAGGGGGGAAAACATCAAGTAGAATTCTAAATTTTGTAGTTACTATCTTGTCTCAACTGAAATCTTCCAAGCAATTTTAAAGCTAGAGATAATCAAGTTGACTTCATTTTCCTAATGAAATTATTGTGTAATGGCTAACTTTCACTGTGACCTGAGTTTTCTTCCCTACTGCAATGCTGCTGTTCTGTTTGATGCTGCAAGGTAATGAATTAATAAATATATTCACAAGAATCCTGCCAATAGTCATTGCCCTCTTCAAAAAGTAAAATTTAGTAACTTTGGCCCAGGGGTATTATTTAGTAATTCATTTTGTCTTTTAGTGAATTGTAATGCTTATAAAGAGTACAGATGGACTTTCAGTCAAGGTGACTAAATCCTCCAGATACCTACAAAACCTACAGTAACATTGCAAGCTTTCTCCTGCTGCTCTGCAATTTGTCTCAACCCTGTTCTGGAGGAACTGACATTTTTCTAGGGATAAATGTCCATTCAGTCTTTGATCTCTATATTACTCCCACCAATAAGGATACTAATTGTGGAAATGGTGGTGGTGATTTGGTGATGTAAAGAAAAAACTAGTCTAACTAGACTAAACATTTATCCAAGTCTGTGGTCTTAATATAGAAGGATTAGATTTTAATTTATTCAACCCCCAAATCAGTAGATGTAGGGAGAAGTCCATTGTTAATTGAAATTTATGGAGGGTAAGTTAAAACATAGGCTATTGCACTTGCAGGCAAATATTTATTTCTTTGTTCATTTTTATCAAATACAAATATTTTTCTGAATTTTATATCAACGATTGGTCACTAAACTATGAACAAAATTTATCTGAGGCCAACCTTTTTCAAAGTAGGGGCATGAAGATAGGACCTGAGGTTGGGATTTTCAAAAGATTTATAAGCACAGTCCCATTTGAAGTCACTTAGATACTTTCAAAAATCCCATTTTTTTTGGTCTCAAGTCCATATTTAGTCACCTGTCCTTTATACTCCTATTTTTGAACACTTAAGCCAGAGTTCCTGATCTCTTGCAGAAATGGAGGTCAATAAAAATTGGAAAGAAATACTGATGATGTACATCAAACTGAATGAAAAATAACGTTCAGTTCTACCAAACTGCATTAGTTTTAAACGATCTTAACTAAAAGTGAATGTCTCTGTCTGTCGATTACTTCAGCCGTCAAGTACCCATGAGAAGACAGGAACTTTAAATGCCGCAGTTGAACTATTTTTATATCTGATCTTGGGTATAATTTTTTGGCTGTTTGGCAAGAGGAGAATTCTCCTGATAAGGTTAAAAATGGTTTTTAGGAAGCAAGGTAACTCCGGAGAATTTAAGCAGAATCCTTACTAAGAAAAGCCATTAATTAAGGCATAGTGGCAATGGAATGCAAATATTTGTTCCCTTAAATAATTATTACATCTTCAATTAATATTTGGCTTCTGTCAAGTTTGCGTAATTAATGCTCAACACTAAATCATGTTCTCTGTAGTAGCGAGAAGGGTAAGGATTGTGGCATCTGCAGAGATAAGCCTAGCAAAGCTAATTTTGCTTTCCAACAGGCATATTGCCCTGTTTTCAGAAGAAAACTAAGGTTCACTTTTGAAATCGATTGCCCATGACCCATAGTTGTTGTAGTACTGGGCTGTAACATATAACTGTGGACCAGAATCCTTATTTAACATTACAAAACATGACAAAGATGTGTGATCTATCATCAAATCCTTGGTTAGTTTATAGAGTTTTACATAGCAGTTTTAAATTGTGTAGAGAAATACATTGTGCTGGAAAAAATGAACATTAATACATAGGAGAACATCTTATCTCTATGCCTCCGAAGGACATTCAAATAACTATATGTGTAAACAATTCAGATGCTGGGACCTCCTCACTAATTTTCCAAAAAATATATATATATATATTTATATTTATATATATAAATAAATATTTTGAGAAATCAGATTTGTTTAGTGTCATGATATAAGTGTTAGATACCATAAATGACTTCAGCAATCTTCTTATTAATGTGAGGCATTCGGGAGAATGGAATGTAAAATACAAAACATATTATTTCCCTGAAAGGCCTTAAATTTTTAAACAGTTGTGCCCCAGCATTACAAGAGATATATGTATTAGAGTATTAATTACTAAAGTTATATATTGTCATATTATACCTGCATTTAATAAGAGGTAATGAGATTTTTCTATACCAACCTGTGATTTTTAGTACAAGAACATCTTTTATATCTTTTTTGTTAGAAAAGTGATTCATGGAGCTTTCTATAATGGTTGCTAGGTAAAGGCACAAGAGATTTAGCTTTTGAATCTCAGGTACCGGTGCAATAGTGGCAACATGTTGAATATAATACTTTTCTTGTTTTGTTTTTGGGTTTTGTTTTTTTTCATGACATGATGTGCAACTGGAATCAGTTTCTTGTTACAGTAATGTGAAGAAGCTATCTCTCCTGGTAGAATTCTCTTTACTGATATGTGCTACCATAACTTGTTTTTTTACTCTTTAATTGGAATGTCTTGATTTTGATTTATTTCCTGTAGGAAGTGTGTACACCATAAAAAAAAAAAATCTTCTCTAACTTTTAAATTAATCATACTTTGAATGTTGTTTCATATTTAAAGAGCAGTGATTTACCACATATACCTACATTATAGAAAAACAATGCCATATATATAGTGTTGTCCAAAAATTAGCTCATTTATCGCAGCATCCTTATGAGGCAGCTAAATAGTTATCCTCATTTTTACATATGGAGAGACTGATACAGAGCAAAGTTAAGTGATTTTCTGACTGCCCCAAAATAAGTCTTGGAACTCAAGAGTTGAATGGGAGTAACAATTAGTCTGCTACATTATACTGTGCAGTCCAGTAGACAGTAAATAAGGGTTTAATTCTGGCTATATTCAACTGGATCTGTTAAATACAGAAAACTGCATTAACCCTTTTACTGCTAGTGGCTGCTGCAAACTTTAGCCTAAATCCAGAAAAGCACTCAAGCACTTAACCTCTAGTAGTACTCTAGTAATCCCATGATAGTTACACACAGACTTAGGTGCTTTGCTGGATTGGGGCCTTCAGCAGTATTTTCCTTAGAAATGCTAAATGCCCTTCAAAGGACAGTTAAAACCAGGGTATTGCATGTGATGCAAGACATGCTGTGTGTGCAGTTATGTGCATCACATACCTCATATTACACAGCAGGCTAGAAGTTTAAAATAGTAAGAGCCTGAAAACTGAGTTTCCTTGCCTTATACAATTGCCATTCTTACTGTTTATTTATCCCCACTGTGCCTAGGTACTGCTGTTTACTGTTTCCTGTTTCCATTGTTTATAATCATTTTCGAAGAATTCTCCTTTCGTATTGAGTTTTGGCATTCATGGTCTCTACATAATCATTTGGCTTGGGAAAATTAATTAAAGTGTTGAGACTATTTTAAGTCACGGAACAAGGTGAAAGTTCTTAACTCCAAGGTGAGTTTATGCAAAAAAATGGTGAATAATTATTTTTGCTAGGCATTTCTTTAGATGTAGTGAAGTAGTGGCTATTTGAAAATGCCATTTGAAGAATGCACAGTGGGGGGGGGGGAACCCTCCTGGATCTTATGTAGCAACCTGAGCAGGCTGTAAGCATAGTTGGCAAGTTTATATGGGCCCACGTTGCCTGTGCTCCACCAATATTCAGGAACGTGGGTCCGGCTCTACCAATGTTTGGGCTTACATTTTCAGAACCGTCCCGTCCATAGGACGGACCAGGGCCCTACACTTCAGAGGGACGCGGAGTCCAGAGCAGCCTGGGGGATTAGTGGGGAGCCTGGAGCTGGCAGCAGTGAGTGACCCGGCCCCAGCCTGTCCTGCTCTGCCCTGCCCCGCCTCTTCCCACCCCTGCTCCACCCTCTGCTTGGACCCATTCTGGGCACCACCAGAAATTATACAAACCTGGCACCCATGGCTGTAAGTGCATGGCATGCATCTGTGCACATCTGCATAATTATACAGTTTTCTTTAACAAGCATTGCTGGTCACAGACGGGCTAGTGTCTCTTAATTAGTGATCCGGAAACTTTTCTGTTTTCTGAATTTAACACAAAGACGACAGGCAAATGCAATGCAATCCCACCCCACCACCGATCATTAACGCAATGCTAGTACTGAGAAGTAAGATACACAAAAATCAGAAAATAGCAGAAGTTAAGGTTTCTTTTGCACAACTGAGTTATATGACCATATTGTGGTCCTGTTACTTTTTCTCTCACTTCCAGTGTAAATCCTCACTCTATTATCAGTTCGGTTAAGTACTGCATAACTGAATATATAGTTGTGCAACTTGATAAGAGTTATTGATGCAGTGAAAACCTTACCTTTTGATATTTCTTTGGGAGGTTTTTTGCCTGTTTATGTTGTATTTTTTGTTGGTTTTGGTTTGGTTTTTCCAACCTTGTGTTGCAATAACACTAGTTCTTCGCACTTTATATAATATCGTAGCATGATTTCTCAGGGAAATGTGGATGATCTTAAGCAGCTTATATCCAAGGAGGTGATTTGAAAATGAAGCAGCAGCCCTTTGTAGGCTTTTATTTGAACATGAAATATAGTTTTCATATTTTGTTTCCTTTCACTTAGCTCCTTCATCCTGGTTCTTTGGATAAGGATGACATTACAAGTATACTTCCCTATTGCTCTGATTTTTCAGAAATATAATTCCTCTGTTATACTTACCCAGTTTTCCGACATAGTTATACTGTGCATCATCTTTACTGTATGAAATTGTATTGAAATAGGACTCTTGCTCTGTTGATTTCAAAGCTGCCCTTTTATCCATGGTAGTATCGTGATGCCTAGCATTGAGGGTTAAACAGCTCTACTGTATCACGTACCTAGTTGAGTTTTGTACTCTGATTTCAGTGCACAGTGCTAGCATAACAGTATTTCCATGAATATGTTCCCTACAGTCAATGGGGTTCTTCTTCAAGTGCTTCTTCACGTCCATTCCACATTAGGTGTGCGTGCGTTGCGTGCATGAGCGTCGGAAACTTGCGCCACGTGCCGGAAACCTGTGCCAGTTAGTAACCCCCACGACTCGTGTCTATGTTGCTTGAGGGACGGACATCAAACTGAACAGTGTAGGATTTGCAAGGTGTTTAAGCCAAGGACAAGGAAAGAAAGAGACTTCCATCTAAAGCAACTGTTGATGGAGACCGCATTGCAGCTGCCGGGCCCGGAGTGCCCGATGCTGGCTCAGGCTTTCTCGGTGCGTAGTGCCCCGGAGCCGTCGAGAGACCCGGCAGCGGCTAAGCACAGTAAACTGTCGGCCCCAGAGTGCTAGGCTGGGCCCTGGCACCGCTCGTCCTCCCCGGTGCGGCCCCCGGCGCAGCTGAAAGGAAGGCACGGTCATTCCCTGCACAGGAAGCTGGCGCCTCCCAAGGCCCCGAGCGCTGATAAGAGTGGGAAGGGTGCGGTCCCAGCAGCACAAGCCCTACCAAGCCCAGACCTAAGCGAGCTCAGTGCAGACTATGGGCTCGAGGGCATAACGGAGCAGCTCTCTACGCCTGGCACCTTTTGAGGCTGCAAAGGACCTCATCGAGCTGTCGGCGGCGAGCCCCTTTCGTATGGGGAGAACCCTCCGACACCCATGCCTTGGGTGCTATTGAGGAGTAAGCCAGCAATGGTGTGCCGCTCGAGGACACCATCCCGGCACCGCTCCCGGAATTGGTCCCGGTTGAGCTCCAGCGACTCACACTTACCAGCGGCTCAGAAGGAGATTGCGGCACCGGCAGCGGGTCGGCGTGAAGAAGCACCGGAAAGGGCATGCCCCTCTCCTGCACCACCCAGAGACTGGCACCGGGAGGAGTTGAGACGGCTCTCGCCAGAGGACTCCCGCAGACCATCCAGATCCCGGTCCCGGGGATACCAGTACCGCTCCCGCTCAGCCAGGAGCCGCTCGGTCTCCCGCCGGCGCAGATCATTGGCACTGCCATGGCCTTCGCAATTGGCGTCACTGCAGTCCGCCGCTATAGCTACCTGCACCGGGCCCCGGACAGCAGGGACCTTTAGGGGAGCTGGCAACCCCAATGGGGGCTGCCAGGCCATTGGCTCTTCTGGACCCCCAGGCCCATCAGGAGCGCCAAGGGGCACCATCCAGGGCAAGTTACTCGGTGCAGGGGTCCCGGTCCCTGCACCTACGCCAGACGGTGCCGGAGGTTACAGTATCCAGGCCTCCAGTATCCCCCCAGCATAAACCGGAGAGACCGGCACCGAGCCCGGTGCCGTCCCATGGACTCCCACCCTGGCCTGAGCCAGAGGCCCCTCCCATGGGAGAAGGGGAACAGGAGGACCAACCAGAGGGGGTCGAGCAGCAGCTAACTTCCTCGTCTTCCCCCGATGAGGTGGTGGAGGGTACAGAGGTGTCCGGTGCTTTGCCGATAGACCATAGAGCCCACCAGGAATTGCTGCGCAGCGTCACCCAAAATTTGGGGTTGCAGGCCTAGGAGACAGTTGAGCAGGAGGACCCCATGGTGGACATTTTGAGCCCCGAAGGTTCATCCAGAATAGCACTCCCGCTCATTAAGACCATTCAGTCCAACTATAAGACTATATGGCAGACCCCGGCCTCCTGTGCTTCAACGGCCAAAGGAGTGGAGCGTAAATACTTTGCCCCATCTAAGGGCTGTGAGTTCCTGTTCTGTCACCCGAGTCCATGCTCCCTAGTGGTCTCAGCGGTAAACAAAAGAGAGTGCCAGGGACAGCAGGCCCTGGCCCCTAAGGCCAAGGAGGCAAAAGGCTGGACCTTTTTGGCAGAAAGGTGTACTCATCTGGGGGCCTTCAGTTGAGGATTGCGAACCAGCAGGCCATCCTCAACAGGCACAATTTCAACTCCTAGGTGGTGGTGGGGAAGTTTAAGGACAACCTCCCGCAAGGTTCCCAACAGGAGTTCACGGCCCTGGTGGACG